CAGGGTTTATAGGGTTTAGGAATTATCGGGTTTAGGGTTTCTAGGGTTTATGGGGTTTAGGGTTTATAGGGTTTAGGGTTTATAGGGTTTAGGGAGGTGCGACATTGGGCAGCTACCACCCGCTCCTTTGTTGTCTCAGAGCTGTCGAGCACGGGGTCTAGCATGACTGTGTTGCTGTCTGGGTCGCCATGACTAGACTGATCTTGGAACCCTTGCACAAATCATAATTTGAGCTGTTTCTTTGGAATTATAGTACCCCAAATGAAAAATTGTTCCCAAAATCCCTAAGATAACGGAGACTGCATCCCTATGCCAATGCCCAGGGGCCACGTGCGCTGATTCCTTCAGGGTCTTGGAACACAAGGCCCACTGGTCTTACTTACCGGTATTTTTCTGGCCTGCAGCAGACCCCTTCACTGTCGCTGGACTACCTTTGCGTGGGCCCCAAAGTATGGGAGCCGCAAGAACCGGATCCTTAGATTCTGCCCAACAGAATGTTGGCCTGGCTTTATTCAAGCTACCGTGTGTAATTACAAGTTTTCCGGAATTGCTCTGCGAACTCAGTTTGTTTGGGATCCCCGCTTTATTCACAAGTTTATTTCCGGAGGTTTTTTTTTTTTTTTTTTTTTAAGGGTTTGTGTTTAGGCCGTTTAGGGTTACAGGATAAAGCAGTCTGAGGGTTTTGTCAGGAAAGCTTCAGGCCTTAAGGTCCTGAGGGCGCAAGGCCCTTAGGGCCTTGGGCTCCAGGAATCTTCCATATTAAAGAGCAAGAACCCGGAGAATCCAAGAATCTAAGCCCGGCCGGTTCCACCTAAAGCCTTATTGAACTTTATTACGAAACAAGGCTCCAAACAAATCTCGTGAGAGGTCGTTCAGGGTTCAATAGATTTGGTTGCGTCACCCTCATAATACACAGGCGCAGAGTTGGCCCTAAACCCAAAACCCTAAACCCTAAACCCTAAACCCTAAACCCTAAACCCGTAGCAATGGCAGGAAAGCTTCTGGCCTTAAGGTCCTTAAGGCTTGAGGCCCTGAGGGCCTTGGGCGGGCCTGAGGCTTGCGGATGGTCATTTTCTTATGGAGGGTCTCAGATTTGTTTTAGGGTTTAGGGTTTAGGGTTTGTTTGGGGGGGAGGGGCCTTACTAAAGCCAGCACAACATTGAACTGGAAACCCTCCCATCCCTCTACAGCTCCATGTCAAGACTCAGACAGCTGGACACAAGATGCTCGGCTGTACATTGGAGAACTGCTTCGGGAACACCCGCGCTGGGGACCGCATGTTTGATAATTGCCCACATGGGGGTTTAGGGTTTAGGGTTTAGGGTTTAGGGTTTAGGGTTTAGGGTCTACTATATACTGTCCAGGAATCTGCTCAAGGGCTTCAAAGCTTAAGCTAAGCGGTCTCCCCACTCGCTTGCGCTGCGATTCCGGAAGTCTTATCTGTTCGCGCCGAGTTGGCACAAGCAGCGCCGCTCAACAAAGCCAACGCACGGGTCGAAACTAGGTCCTTTTTTGGAGGGCTCAGGGTTCGTCAACCCAAAGCCCTAGACCCTAAACTCTAACCCCATAAACCCTAAACCCTAAACCCTAAACCCTAAACCCTAAACCCTAAACCCTAAACCCTAAACCCTAAACCCTAAACCCTAAACCCAACTACTGGGTTCTCCACGGGGGGGGGGGTGGCTGTCCAGGGAGAACCTCAGAGGAAAGACGAACTGCGGGTTGTCCCCCTTAAGGATCCTAGAATGGAAGAGGACCGTAGCCCAGACCTTCCAGACCTGCTGAAGTAAGACATGTAAAAGAAACATATGTGTACATATGTATATGTATATGTGTATGTACATATACATATATATATACATATATATGTATATAGTTATGCACTTCTATCATATTCATATAGTAGACTCTTCTGCCTCAAGACCTATTTCCGAAGTGAGCTGTCAAATAAGAACAAACCCCAACTGGAGCCCCCTAACAGACCCCAAGCTTTGAAAATGTGAAGGCCCGAGAGGTCCCTGTCCACCTCCCTCCTGAACCCTGACTGTTTGGAGGCGTTCGATATTAGGGGTACCTTGTTGGGGTCCTTATTGGAAGAGGATCCTGCCATTTGGGGGGTCTATTTCAGGGGTCCCCTAGTTTCAAATTGCGTTGATGGGACTGGTGTGTGGGCAGGTGGGTTTCTACTTATTGGGTTTAGGTTGAGGGAACTGTGTCAACAGCTGCGCGTTCCAGCGTATCGTGGCTACTCTGGTCAAGTATGGACCCTGAACATCTCTGAACCCCCTAACCCTCAACCCTGAACCCTAAACCTCAGGGTGAACCTCCTAAGCAACCCCTCCCCCACACCTAACCTCTTATTCGACAGCGCGACAAACAGATTCTAAGTTCAAACTATGTACTTATAAGGTCCTTTACGTGTTATGTTACTTTGCTTTCTTCAGAGGGTGTGTATATACATATATATATATGTATATACGTGTGTATGTATAATTATGTGTGTGTGGGGCAACCCCAAACCCACGAGCGCCGATCTGCGCCCGCCCAAGAGCGAACCGGCTCTCATCCAGCCGCGCCATCATCCTCCGCCTTTCAAGTCCCGTTTGGTGTGAGTCTTGATGGCTTCGGGACACTATTACAGCAAGCTTATAGGGTTGTGAGGGCTGATATAGGGTTAGGGGTTCGGGTGTAGGGTTTTAAGTTACCGGTTTTATGGAGGCCCTGCACTGGGAGTGAGAGTCTAGGACGTCTAGGGTTTCTGCCTGCACCTGTGAAGCCTCGAGACAGCCGTCGCACAACATCAAGTAGGCAAAAGTATATCAGCTTCTCTCTCCTTCTCTCTCTGTTTCTCTCTTCCCTAGTTGTCCAATAACCTGGGGGAACTAAAGGTTAACCTTTGGGATTATAAGGGGATTACACTACCCCAAAAAGGTTCAAGGTTACCTGCTCTACTACTAGGCTTCTTCTACCCAGCGAAGAGCCCGAAGCTACAGTCTTACGGCCTGCCTGACCCAAAGCACACGGCAAGCTGATGCCCCGGAAACAATCCACCTTGGCTTCGGCCGCGCCCCCCTCAGGCTGGTAGGCATTGGACCTGGAATGAGTTACTCAAGGGACGAAAGGAGGGACCCTTATGAGGGACCTCAGGGGTTATCTGGGCTTCCGATAGGGGTACCCGTTTAAGGGTCCCGTCAAGGGGATTCGATTCTATTTGGGGTAGAAAAGGGGTAAGAGTCCATGTCACTCTGAACCCTATCAACCTCCTCAACCCTCAACCCTCAACCCTATCTACTCGAGGCCCTATATGGGGGTTTACGAAAGTAAGGGACCACCTAATATAAACCCAAATACTAAGATTCCCTTATAATTAGGACTCCAATAAGGTACGCCTAGTTTCGGAAACCCCCTAGACCCTAAACCCAAAAACCTGTTTCGGAAAGCCCCATATGCCAACGCATCCGAAGTATCCTTAGTACTAGTTCCATCCCTCAAGCGCTGCCAATGCCCAACCCCCTCGCAAACCCCTAGCCCGAAAGCCGCTTCGACCATTAAAGTGGAGCGGCGCAGGGTTTAGGGTTTAGGGCTGAGGGTGAAGGGTTAAAGGTTTAGGGTTTAGGGTTTGGCCTAAGATTGGTGAAGGGGCATCTCGGCTCCCCAGAAAGCGGAACAGGGTTCAGGTTAGGGTTAGGGTTTGGGGTTTAGGGTTTAGGGTTTAGGGTTTAGGGTAAGAGTTTGAAGTTGGGGGTTTTCGCGTCTTCGCCCACAAGCGCAGGCGGGAGTGCTTGTGCTTCGGCACGAAGGAGAAGCCATCGGGGACCTGCGGGAAAGTACAGCTGCTTTCGCCTTCAACAAAGGGCGAGAGTGGGCTCAGAAGCACCCTAAACCCTAAACTACCCGAAACTACCCCAAAAAACCCTAAACCCTACACCCTAAACCCTAAACCCTGTAAACTTTAAACCCTAAGCCCTAGTCCCTACTCCCTACAGGAGTTGAGAGAGCCACGCCTTGCCCAACATCATCTCAGTGATGTCGACCCAGTCCTCCCACATTAGTTGCTTTTTCTTAGGGTTTAGGGTTTAGGGTTTAGGGTTTAGGGTTTAGGGTTTAGGGTTTGGGGAGGGGAGGGGGGGAAGCTGCCTAGGCTTTGAGGGTCTGTGCGGTTGAAGGCTCTGGAGTCTGTACTTCCATTTCGCCGACAGCAGTTCAGGTTCAGGCGGGCTCACAGGTTTAGAGCTCCAGCGAGATTGGGGATCCCTAGCTTGGCTTACAGTTTATAGGTAGCAACTACTCGGCCCATTGCACTGTTGCAGCGCGGCTTCCACTATTCACGCCGCAAGCTGCAGTTCTCCATACGCGGACCACGTAAGTTCGGGTATCCTGAAATGTGGATTGAGGGTCTTAGGGTTTAGGATCTAGGGTTTTCGGATGAGCCGGGTCCTGACGGTTTACAGAGAGTATACCCAGGCGGCCCCCCTGAAGGCCCTCAAAGCCCTTAGTTACACTCTTTTTGCCCCAAGAAGCCTAAATGCCCCAAATGCTGAGAAGGCGTGTTCATATTTCGAGTGCTCGTTGAGGGGTTTCAGAGCTTGAGCGCATCGCAAGCGGTGTATTGGTTTTATCCCACGCTCATGCCTCGAACTTCACGACCGGCTCGGACAGCAATCGAGCGACCTCCAAGTGGCCCTCAGGATCTGCGAGCATTAGTGCTGTTTGGCCTTCATTGTTGGCCAAGCGCCTGTCGGCACCGGCCTCAACCAGCAAGCGCGCGACTGAAACTTGACCCTTGGCAGCTGCGAGCATCAAAGCTGTGCGACGGTGGTTGTCAGCCACATCCTTGTCCGCACCGGCCTCCACCAGCAAGCGCACGACTTCAACATGGCCTTTGGCAGCTGCGTACATCAAGGCTGTGCGTCCGTTGGGCTTGTCGGCCAAGTCCTTGCTGGCACCGGCCTCCACCAGCAAGCGTGCGACTTCAACATGGCCTTTGGCAGCTGCGTACATCAAGGCTGTGCGTCCGTTGGGCTTGTCGGCCAAGTCCTTGCTGGCACCGGCCTCCACCAGCAAGCGTGCGACTTCAACATGTCCCTTGGCAGCTGCGAGAAACAAGGCTGTGCGACGTGGTTGTCAGCCACGTCCTTGACGGCTCCGGACGCCACCAGCAAGCGCAAGACCTTATCATGGCCTTTTCGGACTGCGACCATGAGGGCAGTGTTGCCGAAAACGTCGACCGTGTCCTCCCGTGCGCCGGCCTCCATCAGCAATCGTACGACGTCAGCATGGCCTTTTCGAGCTGCGCTCATCAGTGCTGTTACCCCGCTACTGTCGGCCACGTCCTTGTCGGCACCGGCCTCCAGCAGGAAGCGCAAGACTGGAACATGGCCCCCGAAAGCCGCAAGCATCATGGCCGCATGAGTCTCGGCCATGTCCTTTTCGGCACTGGCCTCAACCAACAGTTGCACGACCTCAGTGCTTCCGCTCAAAGCTGCCATCATCAGGGCAGTGCAGCCCTCCTTGCAAACAGCCTTCTTGTCGCCACCAGCCTCCAGCAGCAAACGCGCGACTTCTACCTGGCCGAAGCCTGGGAGGGTGTTTTAAAGCCCTCTGCAACAATTTCTTAAGAACGATTCTGACCCTCCTATAAGCTGAGGGAAAATCTAAGCCATCCCAAGGGGCTACCAAAAACAGCTGGCTGCACAGAGAAGCAGGCTCTCGCCGCGTTCATTGGCCACATTCGGGTTCAGGGGGCCGCTGCGGGAGTGACTCGACCTCGAGGTTTTTCGGGGATCCTTGGGGTTCCCTCACCTACCCCCATATAAGTGCCTCCCAGTTTAGGGTTTAGGATTTAAAGGATTTTAGGGTTTAGGATTTAGGGTGGACGGGCGACCCCCTCCTTCTGAGTGAATAGGGCGGTCAGAGTTACCCAAAGCCTCTTCCACCATGCCCAGATTGGCAGCTGCCATGATCTCGTCGGCCTCTGTCTGGGAGGCGCTGGTGAGAGAAAGCACGACAACTTCAAGATCCAGGGGCGAGTCGAGCTTGTCAGCATCATGTAAACTCGAGCCCTGAAGTAGAAGCCGCTGCCGGAAGCGCGGGGGAAGGCCATGGAGCTGGTGTAGGCACTGCTTCACCTATACTCCCCTTAGAGCCTTAAATAAAAATACATCTTTTAAATATCCTCTTGGGTTTTATATAGACAAAAAGAAACAATAATTCCCAGGGGGATATAGTCACCTCCCTCACGCTGCTCACCTCCTCCACCGGCATGGCTACCAGCTCTTCACCCGAGAGCATACGGATGTGCAGCATCCCTGGCGTCGGATGAAGAAGTCTAATATCCTGAGCCTGGCGTTTCAGAGCAGTCGAACATGGCTGCATGCCGTGATTTTGTCTCATTCGTATGCCTCATCATTACTCACATGCAGCATCGGATTCACATTGAGGAGGGGTGCTGGTTTTGCTTTACTTGTGGGGGGGGGGGGGGGGGTGACTAGGTGCAAGGTCACGATGGGCGAGAACGACCCCAGCCACCACCTACACCACCAGGCCGAAAATCTGGCTTGCTGAAGCACATTGATCCGCAATGTGGCGCACAGGAGTGCCTACAAGTGTCCTTTATTTTCGCTATGCCGGCGAGCAGCGCACTTATGCTTTCACTCTTTCGAACGAATAATATACGACAAGACATATGTATGTGTATATATATATATATATGTATGTATATATATATATATATATATATTTATTTATATCTAGATTTTTGTTCATATTTGTATTTATGTTTATATTCATATTGATATTCATATTTATATTTAGAAATAGGTTTAGGTTTAGATTTAGACTAGACTTAGACTTAGACTTAGATTTAAATATTTTATTTGCCATATATCGGCATTGTATTCTCACATATTGTACTACTATTTCCAGCGGGGGCAGAAGGCTCCCAGTGTCACGAGTCCATTTAGGGTTTAGGGGCTAGGGCTTTTAGGGTTGTAGGTTTAGGGTTAAGGCCTTAGGCTGTAGGGTCTAGGTTCTATCAATAGTAGAGTTCCACGTAGAGTTTGTAGGGTTTGGGGGTTAGGGTTTGGGGTGCGGGGTTATGGGCTTCGGTTCCTGAGTCTGGAGGGTGCGATTCAGCTTGCGATTCTTGCCCGAAGGCATCTGGGTTAGGGTTCGAGGCTCAGCCGAATAGAGGGAGTGAAAGCAACTGAGGCTTTAGGGTTTAGGGTTTGGGGTTTCGGGTAGTAAGTCAAGCAATCAAGCGGGAACTTTATATGAGTGAGTAAGAGCGACACGTTTGACAGGGCACAGAGATTCACCGGAAAACAACCTCAGGGAGAGCTCAGTTGGCTTGGCTCACTTGGAGCCACTTGGAGACAGGAAGAACCCTGAACTCTGAACCCCAAATCCTGATGCCCTAAACCCTAAACCCTAAACCCTATAACCCTAAACCCTATAACTATAACCCTAGGGATTCCTTCGAGTTGGTCGAGGCCATCTTCGTCTCCAGATCGCTGCGCCCGACGTAGGGTCGGGGGCGCCAGTTGATCTTAGCCTGCTGCACCTCGGATGTAGAGGGCTTTTGGGATATTCCGACAGGGATTAGGGCTTAGGGTTTAGGGTTCAGGGTTTCGGGCTTCTGTGAATCCCCCCCCCACCCCCTCCCGTGAGCTATGAGCACAATGTCACAAGGTGCGGCTATATCAGGGAACCCATCCCGCAAGAAGGGAAATCAGGATACTGCGATGCTGGACTTTCGCGTCTCCGAGACTGGAAGAAGAAACCTTAAACAATAAACCCTAAACCCTAAACCGTAAACCCTATCATGAGGGCTGGACTTTGGCCGAAGCTAGGCCTAAATCTTAAAAGCCGGTCAACTCCCAAAAAAAAAACAACATGATATGAAATGGAGCAAGGTCAGGTGAAGGCCAGACTGGCAAGCAAGCCTGATTCGACCCAAACCCTGAACCCCAAACCCCAAACCCTAAACCCTAAACCCTAAACCCTAAACCCTGAACCCTGAACTCTGAACCCTAAAGCCTAAACCCTAAACCCTAAACCCTAACCCTAAACCCTAAACCCTAAACCTCCCCAAAAAATCCTCAAAGGTGCCGGTCCGGGGCACCTCCAGGAGTCCTATGGGGACGTAGCGGCAGGTGAAGGACCTACGTGCAGTGATGTAGGGGGTTTAGGGTTTAGGGTTTAGGGGTTTAGGGTTTAGGGTTTAGGGTTTAGGGTTTGGGGTTTAGGGTTGAGGGTTTAGGGTTTGGGGTTTAGGGTTTGGGGTGTAGGGTGGGACAGCAGGTGGGCTTGGGTTCGGGCTGCACTCAGTAAGCTAGGGTTTGGGGCGCGCTGGGATTCCTAGGAGCTGGGCTGTGGTCTCTGGCAGCAGGAGTCTTTTGCCCTAATTTTGAGTAGACCCTGGGATAAGAAGTATATACTTTTTATACGCCCAGAACAAGAAATTATAGTATAGTACTCCGAAACCCAGCTTGAGTGATGTATTAGGGTTTGCAGTTTGCGCTCTTATGTTCAGGGGCCTAGCGAAAGGTCAAAGTGCGCGAAGCCGCCAAACACAAGACTCGAATCCCTAAGCTTCAACCCGAGGCCCGTGCTTTCATGGGCGACCTCTACTGACAGGATTGCGGCCATTCTAGCGAGATCCTCGCCCATTGCTTCAAAACATCTTTAATATAACTCCGAATTACTATAATCTGTATATATCGGAGCCCCGAAAAGGGTACCCCAATTTTCGTAAACCCTAAACCCCAAACCCCCAAACACCAAACCCTAAACCCTGAACCCTAAACCCTAAACCCTGAACCCTAAACCCTAATGAAAACCCTAAACCCACCCCCCCCCCCCCACCCCCCACCTGTAGCTCCAACCATGCTGAAACTAGTCCAAGCTGCAGCCACTCCAACAGGAAGCGCCGCGTCGTCTCCACCCCGCGTGCGTCGGCGCCCCAGTGCTCCAGGCCGTAATTCCTTATGGGGCTAAGGGTTAGGGTTTAGGGTTCAGGGTTTAGGCTTTAGGCTTTAGGGTTTAGGGTTTAGGGTCTAGAGTTTAGGGTTTAGGGTTCAGGGTTCAGGGTTCAGGGCTTCGGCGCCGTGCTTGTCGATACAGAGGTCGTAACTTGCGAAAGCACATACTTAGGTGTTCCTGTGGAGGGAGCTGCCCAAGGCTTCGACATCAACTGGTTCGGCTTGGGAAGCAGACAAACAGGGGCCTTGATAGGTAGAATAGTCTAATTGTATACTAGACCCGGGAGTAACCTAGCAAGAAGGGTGCCCTTTTTCCTAGAAAATGTGCCTTAAGAGTTAGAAGACTCTAATTATGTATGAACCATATATATATATATATTACCTCGGTGCTCTAGCGAGAAGGGAAGGAACCAAACACGCACTCAGGCGTTCAGCCCCTCGCTGTTGCTTGGAGTCAGCCGGCTGCTGATGCTTTCTGGCGTGAGGAGGTCCATGTCTTTCTTTGCGCCACCTTTAGGGTTTCTTAACGTTAAAAAACCCGCATTTAGGGTTTTTTAACGTTAAAAAACCTTAAATCTTGATCAGAACTTCACCTTTCTCGCCTGGAAAGGCCCTCAAAATGGCGGTCTCCGCCTGCGGCACCGCCTTATAGGAGCCGCCTGCCTGTACGATTCGGCTTCAAGGTTGTCGGATTTAGCTGAAACGTTCACAAGAAAGCTAGTGTCTGAGATCGTGAACCCTAAAAGCTATGGTTTCCACAGTTCACTTTCCACAGGAGTTCAGGTATAGAATAGGGTCAAGGCTTTAGGGTTTTGCAGACGAAAGCACAGAGTCTGTAGAACGTAGGGCACTAGGGCTTCAGGGCTTGGCATGTGGGCGTACTCCTGATAGCCACTTTTTTGGCAACTTTGTGCACAAAACCTGCCTGCTTTCAACCCGGAACCCGAAATCCCGAGCCCGAAACCCTAAGCCTAAGCCCCTGAACCCTAAACCCTAAACCCTAAACCCTAAACTTTTAACCCTAAACCCTAAACCCAAAACCTAAACCCTAAGCCTACACCCTGATCCTGAAACTCCAAACGCTCGGACCCGATGTCGAGAGGCGTGAAATTCCGGATCAAGTCGAGCCTCTCTGAGGCAGAGATGTCCCAATGCCTGGAGCTGTTCATGGCGTCCGAAGAAACCAGGGTTTAGGGTTTAGGGATTTAGGGTTTAGGGTTTAGGGTTTAGGGTTTAGGGTTTAGGGTTTAGGGTTTAGGGTTTAAACCAGGGTTCAGGATTTGGGGTTTAGGGTCTGGGGTTGAGGGAGTCTACGACTTTCTAAGAACCCAAAGCCTTCGCAGCTCTGGGTCTTATATAGGTCTACCTGCGAAGACGAAATACGAATCGTTACCAGCTCGATGTCAGCACGTCGCGCGTCCGGGGGCTTCCACACAGAAAAGAGAAAGACGGTCTTGCGAGATCAATGATCCAGGGGGGGGGGGGGGGTCAAGTCATCTTCTGGAAATCCCACCGAAAGCCCTAATCCCCGGAGACAGGTCCCACTTTAGACCCTAAGCCCAGATCTCTCGTGAAATGCTGCGGGTCTGCATGTCTTGTTGCCGAGCTCTGCGTAATCCAGGAATTCAAAGGGGTACCCGCTTTTTGCTGAAAGCAGCTTATAAACCCTAAACTTCAACCCCAAACCCTAAACCCTCAAACCCTCAAACCCTTCAAACCCCCAAGCCCGCAAACCGCAAACCCCAAAACCCCAACACCCCAAAACCCCAACCGCCAAACCCCAAACCCCAAAACCCCAAAACCCCCCAAACCCCAAAACCCCAAAACCCCCCAAACCCCAAACCCCACAACCCCAAAACCCAAAACCCCAAACCCCTAACCCTAAACCCGAAAAGCCTAAACCCACCCCAAACCCCAAAACCCCCAAACCCCAAAACCCCAAACCCCTAACCCCTAACCCTAAACTCTAACCCCTAAACCCCAAACCCCAGGGCACCCAGCCTTTTCTCCTTAATCTCCGTGAAAAGCCAAGGCTTGATCAAGGCGCCCCGGCCGACCATGACCTTGGATTCTTGGGGTTTAGGGTTTAGGGTTTCGGGTTTAGGATTTAGGGTTTAGGGCTTGGAGGAGGGTTTAGGATTTGTAGGTTTTAGGGTTTAGGGCTTGTAGGTTTGTGTGTTTCGGGTTTAGGGTTTAGCTTGCAGGGGTTAGGGCTTGTAGGGTTTATGGTTTAGGATTTAGGGCTTGCACGGCTTAAGGGTTTAGGGCTTAGGGTTTAGGGTTTAGGGCTTGTCGGGTTTCGAGTTGAGGGCTCGTATGTTTAGGGTTTAGGGTTTAGGGTCAAGGTTCAGGGTTGGGATTTAGGGTTGATTCTAAGGGCGTTGGGGCTTATAGGGTTCAGGTTTATGGGCTTAGGGTTTAGGGTTGGTTTTTATGGGGCTGCACATCTTTAGGGCTTTTCGGCTGTTAGGGCTTAGGGTTTGGGGTTTTGGGCTTGAAGTGTTTTGGGGCTTTGGGTGCACGAAGGGTTTAGGGTCTTGGGTTTTTTGGGGTTTAGGGTTTCGGGTTTGCCCAGCGCCAAAGCGTCACACATATATGGTACTTGGAGTGGGTGTTATGTATGCTTTGGGTTTTGGAGTTTAGGGCTTAGAACGCCTCGCCAACCCTCCTCCCTCCTCCCCCACCCCCCACCCTCCCTGCCCTCCACCCTCCCTCCGGCATTGAAACCCCCGCGCTTGAACCTCTATGTGCTTGAATCTACTCTAACCTCCTACATCCTAAGCGGCATCTACATTCTACGTCTCTATATCCCTGAACTGTGAACGACCTGATTGCTGCCTAAATGCTCTAGTGTATCTTGCTACCCTGCCCGCCTGCTGGAGCTGCTGGGAGCGGGAGCTTCACCGGCATCATCCCCTGGCTGCTTCCGCTTCTTCGGCGGATCAACGACGGGAATGCCGGTAAAGCTCCCGAGTCTCCGGGTCCATCCACATGAGGTATTTGTGGTAGGACCTCCGCTCTGCCAACGTCATCTCGCGCGTGCGTTCACGCATATCCACAAGCAGAGTCATGGCGCTCCAAGAGCCTTCGGGAGGCTCGCCTTCCAACGCGGGTTTGGCGATTGAGCCAGTGACGCGATGGCTCTGCCTGTGGAGGCCCCACACCCAAAAATCTCAACTCCGTCAGGTCCTTCCCATCGCGACCGCTTCCACCGGGCCCTGGCGCGCCCCGCATTTGTCGCAAACCTTAGAGATGGAGAAGGGGAGGCGGAGAAGAAAGTTAATAAACGAAATACCTTCATACCGGGAAGCTTACGTCCTCCAAACCGGAACACACCTCCCAGAAAAAAGAGGAACACCCCGAAATCTACTCAGAAAGACTTTCTAAGGTATGCCCCTCCCGGGTACGTACTGCGACCACTCGTCGGTCCACGAGGAGCCCGTGAAAGCATACAGCTTGCCTCGCAACACGGAAGCCGAAACCCTAAAGAACGCCTCTAAAAGATAAAAACCCAAAAGCCCGCCACGCCCCGCGTCCTGGGCAGCGGGGCGCTTGGATCGTCCTTGCACAGGAGGTTCTTGTCCAAGGGCATGACGCAAGGAAGCCCTTGCTCGATGGTCCTCGGACCCGCTCACCTCCCGAAGACCTAACCCCGATGTTCTTCCACCGAATAACGAAAAAAAAACCGCAACGTTCCATACTTCCCAACCAGCCCGGCGTCGCGGCGCGGCTGGCGATGGCAGAAACGGAGGACACTGACAGGCACGGAGCTTGTGGGTGTGCGGCGCTGCGCAAAGAGAAATTCCATACAAGAAAACCCAACACCAGAATGCCCAACAAATATTCCAAAAAAAAACACACGTGATTTTGAGAAAATGTCGGTCCAGTTTCGGTCCAGTTTCATGAAACTGGACTCCGGTTGTCCAGTTTCGATCAAAACTGGACGACCGGAGTCCAGTTCCATGAAACTGGACCGAAACTGGACCGACCTTTTTCTCAAAATCACGTGTCTTTTGAAATCCAAAAAATGAGAAAATCTGTAAAAAAACAAAAAACTATTAACAAATCAAAAAATATCAGTAAAAAACTGTCAGACTTGTTCCAAAAACATCGATAAAATCAAGAAATCTTTAGGCTTTATAGCGCTAATTTTGATGTTTGTTTGGTATGTCTTTTTTTATTTTGACCCGAAACACTCCGTAACAAAGTGGCATTTGGTGGCCCCGAAACCAAAAACAGCTGCAAGTTAAATACAACTTGTTTAACTTGCAGCTGTTTTTGGTTTCGGGGCCACCAAAATTATTGGGGACACTGTCTGCGGGGTGGGGGGGAGGGTGGGGGGGAGGGCCTTCCCAGATGCCACCTTCCCAGATGCCTCCCTCCCAGATGCCCCCCCTCCCAGATGCCCCTAGACCCCTAAACCCCTGAACCCCTGACCCCTTTGTTCATTGCCGTGGGGCACCAGCGGTATCCCGTGGGCGACACCAAGAACTACGGACACGCTGAAGAAACCGAAGTCCAAGTTTCTGTTTTGCGACACCTCTAACAGCTTAGATTTGATTTCACGTTCCCCCACACCTGCTCTCGCCCCGAAGTAATGGTCGTGAGTAATGGTCATAGCTAACTCCAAGATTTTGGCGTTCCATTTATGTCTTCTTCCCTGACCCCTAAACACCTCAAAACCTCAAAGCCCTTTGCCCCCTAAATCCTTAAACCCCTGAAATCCCCAAACCTCTCAACCTCTAAACCTAGGCTCCTGAACCCCTACACCCCCAAACCCTTAGACCCCCCAAACCCCTATAAACCCCTAAACCTCGAAACCCCGAGCCCCAAAACCCCTGAACGCCTAAACCCCTAGACCCCTAGACACCTAAACCCCTAAACCTCGAAACCCCGGGATTAGAGGTTTAGGGGGACTAGGGGTTTAGGGGTTCAAGGGTTTTGGGGTTCAGGGGTTTCGAGGTTTGGGGGGCTTCAGGGGGCTTACGGGGCTCTATGGGGCTTAAGGGGGCTTAAAGGGGGTTTCAGGGGGCTGTAGGGGGACTTAAGGGGGTTTTAGGGGGCTTCAGAGGGCTTCAGGGGGGCTCGAAGGCGCTTAAGCTGAACCCCTAAAACTCTCAACCTCTAAATCCCTAGACCTAGACTCCTAAACCTCGAAACCCCTAAGCCCCAAAACCCTTGAACCCCTAGAATCCCAGACGCCTAGACCTCTATAGATCCCTATAGAGGGGTTTAACGGTGTAGGGTTTCTGGAATTTGTGTTGGGTGCTCAGAGGTTTTGGGGTTTGGCCTTTTGGGTGGCTTGTGTTTTTTTTAAGAAATTCACTATAATTCATTATAAAAAACATCACAGATTCTTCTCAATTTTCGATTGTTATTGGTTTTTGGACATCAAACTTTCTCTGCACGAAAAAATACTTGAAGATCAGTTCTTTCAACACAGGTCAGTGTTCAACACATCTCCTTGCATCATGCATGTTTTCCGACACAAGAAATCAACACATCACAGTCTGTTTTGCATGCATTTCCATTCGTTTTCTCCCTTGGATCATGTGCTCATAAATCCTAATTCACCATAATTATAACCTTGCACATCCTAACATAGTATAATAGATGGACATTAAACTATTTTTCAAGATAAGATAATGGTCAGGGATCTGCCTAACCTTAGCTTGGAGGCAGGGCATGCTCAAGGTTTTTCCTTCATAGTTTAAGATGCCTGTGGGAATTGCGTGGATTGGGATCTCTGTTGTAGTGTCGCCTATCTAAAAGGTTCTGTTGCCTATGCGGCTTCAAAGTGACTCAGTAGTTTCCGCACTACTTGTGAGCAAGCAGAAGCAAAACCCGCGAGCAGAAGGCCCGGCCGAAACGAAACGAAGGTGCATACTACAGCGCTCGGTTTAAGCGAGCTGGGAACAGGGCGTCAGGAGTCAGGGGATGCGTCAGAAGAGCAACCCCCAATGCACTCAGCCGCATTCTCATGTGCGCAGAGCTCCGCCGCATAGGCTTGCATCCCCCTAACGCAGAGCACACAAAAACTCTAACACTGAAACTCTTCGCTCCAAACCCCAAACTTCAAGCCTCTAAGCCCTGAGCCCTAAACCATAAACCCTAGAACCCCAACCCCAAACCCTAAGCCATGTACTGTAGGGTCGGGGAATTGCGGTTCTTTGGGATCTTGGGTTGAGGGCTTATAGGGGTCTTGGTCTGAGGGCTTAGGGCTTAGGGCTTAGGGCTTAGGGCTTAGGGCTTAGGGATTAGGGATTTAGGGCTTAGGGATTTAGGGCTTAGGGCTTAGGGCCTAGGGCTTAGGGGTTTAGGATTTAGGGCTTAGGGCTTAGGGCTTATAGGGCTTAGGGCTTAGGGATCTACGATTTGGGGCTGAGGGCTCTTCAAGTTGGGGGTTTAGGGGGCTCGGGCTTCTTGGATTTTAGGGGTTGTATCCCTTTGAGGGATTTCGGCTTCCTGGGTTTAGGTACAAGGGTTTCATAGGTTTAGGGTTTAGGGTTTAGGGTTTAGGGTTTAGGGTTTAGGGTTTAGGGTTTAGGGTTTAGGGTTTAGGGTTTAGGGTTTAGGGTTTCATCGATTGAGGTTTGTACGAGCCACACTTCCAGATTGCACCGAGTAGCAGCGTCGACGCCATGTGTCTGGCAGTGCTCCTCCTTAGATCCAAGCGCCTCTGGGATGGCCCCTAAGACCCTCTGAACAAATAGTCCTAAACATTATCCTCTTACCCTAAGGATCCATGTACCTATATAGTATATACTTAGGCCTTAAAGGGGTTCCTATATAGTAGCTTTAGGGCCCAAGTATATACTATATAGGTACGTGGACCCTTTGGGTTAAACCCAATGAGGGAAAATACAACATGTCCCAAGGGCCTAGCTAGGTTTAGATTGAGGCTTCTGGAGGCTCTCAGGGTCTCAGCGACGTCGGTTATCCTAGCAGCTCTTGCTGCAGCCATCATCGTCGCACTCGCAACATCAGCAGGGTTTTATCCCTAAACCCTTCGAGGGTGTGATGTCTTCTGAGGGTGCTTAGGGTTTTATGGGCTTCGGGTTGAGCGTGAATCCGAACAAAGCCATGGCTCGACCTCACCCAATGGCCTGCGGCCTATCGCTTATTGCTTTTAGGGTTTAGGGTTTAGGGTTTAGGGTTAGGGTTAAGAACATTTCTGGTGTGATATACATTCTGGTCACCTTTTGGCGTGCCAACTATCCCTAAATCCTAGGCGCGCTGTCATCTACAAAGCCTTTTCGCATGTGGGATTCTTAAGTGGCTCTAGCCGAGGGGCTACTTCCTCCCAGTTCATCGCATCGCCACAGCCGATGAACGGGGTTTTGCGCTGCCTCCTCCCACCACACTCTCCTTTCTTGCGCACCCTAAACCTCAACCCTAAACCCCAAGCCCTAAACCCTAAACCCCAAACCCTAAACACCCTACACCCTGAACCCTTTTCGAGACTTTTGGGGCTGTATGGGTTTTGGAGCGGACTGTGGAGCTCCCAGCATGCTCCAACCCCATAACCCCCAAAGCCTTACACCCCAAACCCCAAACCCCAAACCCCAAACCCCAAACCCCAAACCCCAAACCCCAAACCCTAAACCCTAAACCCTAAACCCTAAACCCCCAAGCAGAAGAATAGAAGAGCTTCTGGGCCAATCCCTCAAACCCAGCAGCTGAATGTCGTCGAGCAGGCTGCTTTGTTTTATATAGGGGTCGTGTACGCGAGTCGGCTTGGGCTTGGTGTTTAGGGTTCAGGGTTTAGGGTTGAGGGTCTAGGGTTTAGGGCTAGATTCCCGAAATTCTGCACCCTCAGCCCTCACGAATCGCCCGAGTAGCTGATGTAGTCCCAGTCGGCCAGCTTAGTGTACCTGCGCTGAGGCAATGCTCCCAGGTGTTCTCAAGATCAGGGGCCTGGGTCTCTAGACTCAACTGCTCTTCGGAACCCGGCAGCAAAGATGACCTCGTCACTATATCTTGCAACCAGCTCAAGTGGGTTTAGGATTTGGGGGCTTTACGGGGCTTAAACGGCAAAGGGTTGATGCTGTGACAGTGGCTTACGTGTCTCCAAATTCCTTGCAGAGCGCATGGTTAACTTGTGAGATTATCTAGGATTGAGCTCCTTAACCCTAAGCCCGCAAAACCCTAAACCCCCAAACCCTAGACCCCCAACCCTCAAGAAGCTTGCTGGTTTCTGAATCTACTAGAGAGCGACAAGTCCTAGATAGCTGTAGGTTCTCCTGAGCAGCGCATTAGGGTTTAGAGCTCAACGTTTGTGACCCTAAAACCCTAAACTCTAAACCCTAAACCCTAAACCTTAAACCCTAAACCCTAAACCTTAAACCCTAAACCCTTAACTCGGGGTTGGAACTCGCTCCTGTCGTAAGGGTTGGGGCTTTCAAGCTCAGAGGGCTTCTTGCGTAGGCCCCCCCCTAAACCCTGAACCCTAGGCCCTAAACCCTAGTTAACCCTGATAACCCTGATAGCCCTAACCCTAAGGCCCTAACTCCTGAGCCGCCTCAAGCCCCCGCACCCCTGAACCAGATGTTTGTTGGGGTTTAATCCCTAAACCCTAAACTCCTGAGCCGAGGAGCCTCTGCCGGGCTGTTCGTCCATGAAGGACAAGGGCACCTTTGGGTGTGGGCTGAGGGCTAAGGGTTCAGGGTTTAGGGCGAAGAAGGGTTTAGGGTTTGAAGGTTCAGGTTTAGTTAAGGGTTTAGGGCCCATCGATTAGACCTGACAACAAGCCTGGACCCCAAACGGCCCATCATCATAGCCGAAAAGCGGCCTGCTTCATACAAAACAAACAACAAAGAGCTGCAAACCCTAAACCCCATAAAAACCCTGTAAACCTAACCCCCAACCCTCAACCCTAAACCCTTCAGGCGGGGCTCTCACTCCCCAGCTCTCCAATTTCGGCACAAGGTTGTGGGCATAGCGCCCATTGAAGTCCTTGTTCTTGCCATCCTGACAGGGGGGTTTCCGAAAATGGGGTTTAGGGTTTAGGGTTTAGGGTTTAGGGTTTAGGGTTTAGGGTCTAGGGTCTAGGGTTTAGGGTTTAGGGTTTAGGGGGGTACTTTTATTTATTTTTATTTGTGTTGTTTTTGTTTTTTTTTTTTTTTTGGGGGGGGGTTCCTATGATAAGGGTGATCGTGTTTGGGGGTATATTAGAGGTACCCCTCTTCTGGACAATGCCCACAGGGCCTCAGTGTCCAAGATTGCGGGCTTCAACAGCGGTGTTGACAGGGCTTCTGACAATGTGGGTGCCTCTTCCAATCAAGGCCCTACACCTATAAAACCAAAACAAACCCTAAACCCTAAACGTTAAACCCTAAGACCTAAGCCCTAAACGATTAAAAACAAAAAAACGCTTTACCCTAAAGCCCAAACCCTAAACCTTAAACATTAAACCCTAAACCCTAAAGCCTAAAAGCCGAAACCCTAGCCTGAGGTTTGCCTAAGTAAACCAACAGCAAAGCAGAGGGGGGCACTGTGGGTTAGTAAATGTTAGGAACAAAGTGGGTACCCCCTTCTTCGCTTCGTGGATGATAAGGAGCCCTAAACCCTAATCCCTAAACCCTAGACCCCAAACCCTAAACCCTAAACCCCAAACCCTAAACCCTAAACCCTAAACCCCAAACCCCAAACCCTAAACCTGGCATCTCGAAAGGGCTCCTCCATGTGCGCAGTCCGGAACTTCAGCGTCAGCGCCTTGGTCTTCAACGCGCCAGACATACCTTGGAGGGATTAGGGTTTAGGGGGTTTGGGGTTGGGGGTTTGGGGGGAACAATTAGGTCACCCTTATGGGCGCTTGATCTCGCAAGGCCTATGCCGGCCCCCGGAATCCCATGCCCTACACGAACGAAGGGGGGCCAGGGTTTATGGGTACACCTTCCTTGGATTGATGGGGCTGACATGGAACAAAGCAGGTCCCCCCATTATCCTATTATTAAACCCCCCCTTCCCCCTAACATTACATACTCCCCCCATATATATATATATATATACTATCATGTAACTACTACAACACAACTATACTGGGGGAACTGCATATTAGAGGGTAGGGGGGGTGTAACATTGGAGGGATTGCCACATCCCTCAACTCGACCACCTTACCCTAAACCCTAAACCCTAAACCCCAAACCCTAAACCCTAAACCCTAAACCCGCAAGGATTCAGGGTTTAAGGGCCCTCTGGGCATCCCAGTGCCCACGGAGGCGCAGCGAACGATGCCCTCCAAATGCGCAGCCTTGGCCATCAAGCGGGAGCCAGCGCCTCTGCGGTGGACCTCAGGGTTTAGGGTTTAGGGTTTGGGGTTTAGGGCTAGGGCTCACAACAAGACAGTGGAGTGGGGGGGGGGGGGGGGGAAGGTGTAGGGTGTAGGGTTTAGGGTTTAGGGTGTAGGGATATTAGGGTTTAGGGAGGGTTGGGGTAGAGAGGTTGGGTTTCTCGAGCCTTTTGCAGGATGAAATTGAGAGGTAGTCCAAAACATTCCGAAGCAATGTTCCGGGAACACCTGAGCCTCTTCTCCATTCGGAGCTTAGGGCTTAGGCCCCTTACACCTTAAACCGCCCACCTCCCCTCGGACTCGAACCCGATTCAGGGCTTACCATCATCTAACGCAAGCCGGGACCAGCAGCGAGTCTAGGGCATTAGCGGCTCAGGGCTGCTGTCAGTTGAAGTTTTCTGGGCCGGCTGGGGAATCTGCGTAGAATCAGACCAGGCACCTCATCCAGCGGGCAACCGCAGTTGATGTCCACAAAGTCGCAGTCAACATTTTCCTGCTGGCGTCTTCGCTTGGTATTAGAGGGTCTGTTCCGAACTGTAAACTGAAACCGGTGAGGTTAGGGCTCCACAGGGGTTCTGAGGGACTCAAGATTAAGAACTACAGGCCCGAAGGATTGGAGTGAGGCTTGTAGGGCTTCTTTTGGGTTTAGGGTTTAGAGTTTTAGGGTTTTAGGGTTTTAGGGTTTTAGGGTTTTAGGGTTTTAGGGTTTTAGGGTTTTAGGGTTGGATTCCCGCGTGGCGTGGGAGCTGCCCAAGGAAAACTTGATAGCATTTACCCCCTGCGAGGCCGGCGGCTTAAGCCAGAGGCTCTTGGAAGCATGGGCGATTAGGCCTTAATCCCCCTAACCAACCCTACGAAGCGGGGTTATACCCTAAACCCTAAATCCTAAACCCTAAACCCTAGGGTAGAATAGCCCATGCAGGTATGAGAAGCTGCCAAGCGGCATCGATAAACTGCGCGCACTTGGTCATCATCTCCACATCGCCCCCAGCCACCTGGAGAAGGAAGATTCCCAGGTTTTAGGGTTTAGGGTTTAGGGTTTCAGGTAAATTCCTTACAGCATGTAGCCTAAGGGTAGTTGCATGGGCCCTTTATATGGTCCCTTGCCTGCTTTAGAGGGTGCTGCAGTATGGGCCCTCGAGTTGTATAAGGTACATAAGGGTAAGAAGTATGCAAGGGGTCCCCAGGGCCCATATTCAGGGATTATGCAACTACCCTAGCTGACCCTTCTGGTTTATGGTATATTTAGTGTCTGCTCAAAAGCTGGATAAGTCACCCTTTTGTAGTGCCCTTCTGCAACCCTAAACCCTAAACCCTAAACCCTAAACCAGAGTTTCTGAACGTTCACGGGATGCGGCGGCTGGGTTCTAGGCCTCTGACAGGTGGAGGATCCTTCTAGCTTCGGGTTTTTATAAGGGTCCATGTAGGCGGTTTTTATATACTTGGTCCTCAAAGTCCTTATGTAGGAAGTACTTTAAGGCCCAAGGATTCCCCATTTAGGTGCATGGACCCTTAGGGAGTACCCCCACGGGCCGCATCATTAAGTTGAAGTCACATTGACCCCCAAAACAAAACCCTCAAATCCAAAAACCCTAAAATACTAACCTTAGTTGTCAAGTAACCCAAGGGAATTAAAGGTGAACCTTTGGAATTAAAAGGGGGTACATACCCCAAAGATGTTAAAGGTTACCTACTCTACTACTAGGTAACTCTACACACTATTCATTAAAGGCTTGGGGGTGTACACTGTCCGGTGGCTTGGGGTTCGCAGACTTTGAAGCCTAGAAGTCCGATTCACAAGGGCTCATGGTATTGCAATTGCACCTCGATTTAGGGTTTAGGATTTGGGGTTTACGGTTTTAGTGCAACCGTCCGAAAACGAAGTATAAGTATAATTCAGGCGGCTGATCACACGGCTTCTCAAGTCATGCGCCCTTGTGACTTTAGGGCTTTCCTTCGCCCTCTGGCTTCTAAGGACTTGAACTACCAAAGCTACAAAACTTGTGCCAAAAACACTAAGTTGGGAAGTTTCCCCTTATACTAACAGTCCTTAATCGAGATGATATAATGGGGGGGATACTATAATCCCTATTCAGGACTCTTGTACGAGGGGGAACATCCCAACTGCAAAGTGTTGAGTCCAGCAGATCTGCAGCCAAATAGGTGGCCCGGGTCAGGACCTGAAGCCCTAAGCCCTGAACCCAACAAAGCGTGTTTAGGGTTTAGGGCTTGGGGTTTAGGGTTTAGGGTTTAAGGAAATACTCAATGCACCCGGTAGAGGTCTTGCTTTGCTGGCATACATTAGACACAGGTGTCAAGTCAACTTTGCGTATGAGTGTTTGCTTTGTTTGTTTGGTTGTTTGCACCTTGTTCTTTTCGACTTCTGGTCATGAGAATCCGTTTCAACAGGATGACGAACTAGTCAGATAGTTGTTTGAGTGCGTTGCCAGCCAAAAATCATGATGAGGAAGAGCGTGTTTTAAAGCAACTGTACCGAGCTTGTTTGTCAGAGCTAGCTTGGCGAAACCAGTCTTACAATGCGGCAGCAAAAACAATGTTACAAGGTGGCAACAGCATGAGAACTACACATATTGACCCCATGGTATCAACTTTGCAGGAAATACTGCAAGCATAACTGAACAAAGGACCCCTAGCCTGTAAATATTATGAATGCTTATGATGGGTGCAAATGTATATGTATATTAATACACACACATACATGCTTACCTGTATAAGAGTTGGTTTTGTTGTGCAAACCTTACTGCGTAGCCCAAAACCTTACTACTCATGTTGTGTGGGCTATTGAAGCCTACCAAGCAAGACTCCCCCACCCTGAACCCTAAACCCTAAAACCCCCTGATCTCTCTAAAACTGTCAAAATGGCACCCCAAACCCCAAACCCCAAACCCCAAACCCCAAACCCCAAACCACAAACCCCAAACCCTAAACCCCAAACCCCAAACTCTACGCCCATCTCGAGCCTGTACGCCGAAGCACTTCTCCGACTCGTGCCGGCGGAGAAGCGCCAGCTCACTCTGATAGCCCTCCACGACCTTCGGGAGTTTTGAGATTAAGACAAAAGGGCGGAAGACCCTTAAACCTGGGGTTTAGGGTTTCGGGTTTGGGGTTTAGGGTTTAGGGCTTAGGGCTGAGGGCCTGAGTGTCGAGGTTTGTTCAGCGGTTTGGGGCTTAGGGGGTAGCACTCAAGCAAGGGCTCAGGCTTGGGACATTCTTCACCCCTCTCGTGCTTTCGGCCTGACCTCCGGAATGACTTGAATAATCATGGGACTCTACTTTGGACCTCCGGGTTTGTGGACCCTTTGTAAAGATTCTTTAAGGGCATGTTAAATATAAGGGCCATATTAGGCCAATACTAAGGGAACCTCTTAGGGGAATCCTTAGGGTCCGAGTATGACTTCCTTGATTGCATGGGTTCATGTAGCTGCTCAGCCAACTGAATCTGCCGTGGGCTTCAGGCCTTCAAGAGCCCTAAACCCCAAACACCCAAGACTCGGGGCTTGGGGTTTGGGGTTTGGGTTGGGATGTTCACCCTTCTACTAACAGTCCTTAATATGGTTTTTTAGCACCCCCGATTACAATCCCTACTAAGGACTGTTCGTATCAGGGGGAACATCCTAAGGTTTGGGGGTTTGGGGCTTAGGGAGAAGGAACCTGTATCTTGGAGTGTAGGTTGGATGCGCAGAAAAGGGGGCCGGACGAGGCGCAGTCTTCTTGGGCGACAAGCTAGAGGTTTAGGGTTTAGGGTGTTTTGGGCTTCGGGAAAATCTCGACTTTTCTAAAAGAAAACATGCAAGCCGCCCTAACTCATGTTTCTACACTTCCGAAGCCCCAAGCACCAGCACTTCGACACCCTAAACCCACCTTAAACCCCTGAACCCTACAGTCTAAATGACCAAAACCGCGATCCCGCCCAGACCAGAAGGACGACGCTACAGGAACCATGTAGGATTTAGGGTCTAGGGTTTAGGGCGCGTATCATCTCATCATATGCGATGGCACTGTACAAAATGCCATCCTCGTGAACCAGGCCCCTAGAATTACTGCTTGCTGAAGAACCCCAAAAAAAAAGATACTGTACCTCCCCGCCCCACCAGCGGATCCTAAGCCCTGAAGGTTTACAGGATTTAGGGTTTAGGTTCAGAGTTTCGGGAAATCCTGACCCCTAAATCGTGGACGTTCTTCCCCGAAGGTTCTAGACTGTGGGCTGAGGGACCGAATGTGCCAACGCCATCTCCCCGACCGTCACGTCGCCTCAGTTTGAAACTGAGGGCTCGGGCTTAGGGTTTAGGGTTTAGGGTTTAGGGCTTGGGGTTTGTTTAGGGTTTAGGGTTTGGGTTTAGGGTTTAGGGTTTAGGGTTTAGGGTTTAGGGTTTAGGGTTTAGGGTTTAGGGTTTAGGGTTTAGGGTTTAGGGTTTAGGGTTTAGGGTTTAGGGTTTAGAGGTTCGGGTTTAGGGTTTAGGGTTCAGGGTTTAGGGTTTAGGGTTTAGGGTTTAGGGTTTAGGGTTTAGGGCTTAGGGCTTAGGGCTTCGGGTGCGGAGTTTGGGGTTTAGGATGCGGAGCCTAGGGAGTTTAGGGTTTGGGGTGCAGAGTTTAGGTTCTAAAGCTTAGGGGTTTAGGGCCAGGAGTCTGAGCCTGGGCTTTCGGGGTTTAGGGGCTGAGAATGTTCGCCACGTTTCTGGTCTCATGTTTGAAGATGTTGGCTCCAGAAGAGAGGCGCAAAAAGGGGTTTCCCAAATAGCTGCGTAAGTCAAGCGGCCCCGTTTTTGAGAGCCAGTTTAGGGGCCTCGTTTCGTGCCTCGATTTAGGAACCCAAAGATGGTTTGGGCTCTAGCAAAAACGGTCGGGACTGTGCAAAATTCACAAGGATGTTGAACGAAACGTCACGCAACGATCGGCATTCTCGTACGTTCAGCTGGACTTGCCCATTTCAACACGTGCTTCATGCTCGCTGGTGCGGTGGAGCGCGGGTTCGTGCTTTGGGGGCTCATCAGGGTTAGGGCGGACGCAAAGAGGCTGGGAGTCCACAATTTTTTGAGGGCATGCAAGAGACCGTCATTCCCATATCTTGGAAACCAACACGACAATCATGTGGGGTGCATTCTTGTGACTTAAAGTCTATTCCTCACTGAAAGCATCTTTGCAAGATCTGGGTGGTGCAGGTCCGACTTCCTAACCCCACACTCTACTCTAAACCCTAAACCCTAAACCCGAAACCCAAAACCCGAAACCCAAAACCCGAAACCCCAAACCCCAAACCCTGAACTCTAAACCCTAGACCCTAAAACTTCTAAACCCCCCCCCCCCCTTCCCATAAACCCTGCACATTAAGTTTAAGAAGCCCGAATCCCAGACCAGAAGTTCCCCTAAGCGCGTCCCCGTAACCCCCGCACACCCCTGACTTGCGACGACAAGGTTTAGGGTTTAGGGTTTAGGGTTTAGGGTTTAGGGTTTAGGGTTTAGGGTATTATAGCGAGGGTGTATCGAACTCATGTGAACAGAATCCCATGAACCCTTATGATTCCAACTACTGTCGTGGAGAACTGGTTCCAAAAATGGGGGGTTGGCCCTTTCTACACTTCGACAAAAAGGTAGAATCTCGCATGCAAGGACCCAAAATGTCGAAATCACCCAAATGACCAACATCGAAACAAACTAAACCCGAAACTCTCAACCCTAAACCCTGTAAACCCTAAACCATAAACCCTTCCCCTGAAATATCCTCTACACCCTCCAATTCTCCCTTTTGTTGCAGCACAAGCTACAGCCAAGACCGACGCACAGGCGCCGAAAGGGAAGGTTGCCTCAAGAGGCTAAGGGACTTTCAGGGTTTAAGTGTTCAGGGTTTAGGGTTTGGGGTTTAGGGTCCAAAAATGTTGAGTGTACGTGACGTACGTTTAGGGATAAGGGTCTCAGGGCTCAGTTAAGTTCCTTGGGTTTGCGGTCTCAAGTGTATGGCTTGCGCCACAGAACAGCAGGGGCTGGCACACATCGACTTCCTCTAACCCTAAACCCTAAACCCTAAACCCTAAACCCTAAACCCTAAACCCTAAACCCTAAACCCTAAACCCTATGCGGAGCTGCAATTGGTATTGTAGAAAAGAGTTAGTGTTGAGAGTTGGAAGGGTTAATGAACCCGGAAATCATGTTTGGCTCACGATGGGCTTGAACAGAAAGCCACAAGTTCAAAAAGTAGTGCCTGGGTTCTTAGGGTTTGGTAAGGGTGTGGATTCCTTCCCCCTTTCCTTCCCCCCTGGGTTGCTCTTATCCGTGTTCTTGTTTGTTTCTTGGTTCGATCTGGGGAATATAAGTTCAGGGCGATTAGGGGAGTTGATTTCCTTCCTTGGTTGTCCCCCCGTAGGTTATGAGCCCAAATTAGGTTCCCTGCGGTTGAGTGTTGTCTTAAGACCTTCGGGATCAAGAAGCAATGCCTTCTCCGAAGCGATGGCTCCAACCTGCCTCGGATGGTGGACAAAATGGTGGAGCTGGAAATGGTGCAGCTGAGTCTCTGGGTGAAAGATCGGTGTTGGAAGAGGTGATTCCCGGCGCTGAAGAACATCTGGAAGAAGCCTTGGTTGCAGAAACCCCCAATGTGGGTATGAATCCCAATGTGGATATGGTTAGCAATACTGAAGCTGAAGGACGTGCTGTCTCTGTATCGCCAAAGCCTGGTGAGAAAAGGAACTGGGACGCGACTGGTGGTATAGATCGTGAAATGGAGGTGACTGTTTTACGAGTGTTGCACAAACACGGGTATCAGCCGTCGACTTCGACTTCGGGTCGAATGGTAGACCAAGAGTCTCAGACCGATCTGATTGGAGAAGTGCTGCAAGCGGCCAGGAGGCCTCTGAACAAGATCAAAAGGGATCCATCTTCGAGTTCCCAAGGTGGTGGAAGCAGTCACGAACAAAAGGGTGCGGACAGCTTTGAAGCTGCACCTGCTGCTGAATACGCCATGGGGGAGGAGGAGATCCTACAGATGGAGGCTGAGAGGTTGCAACAGTTGTCAGAAGAAGAGGACGAGATGCGTCAGGTCTCTGAAAGGGATGGTTTTCGGAAAGATGAGCATCTGATCAAAGCGTGCGATGGGACAACGTGGGAATGGCACCTCCATGAAGATGGGAGACAATATTATTACTGCCTGGATACGCAGGAAAGCAAGTGGACATTGCCGGTGGTAGGTGAAAAGATGAAGAGTGACGAGGTGGTTGGGTCTCCTTCGGGCAATGAGCTGGAAATGGAGGCGGCACTGGATTCTTCATCCTCTACTCCGAAGACTGAGTCTACGAGGGCATTCCAGGGTAGTGTAAATAGTTTAGGTGAAAAAGATTTTTCCTCTACTATCAGGGATAGCGGTCCTAGGGCTGGTGGTGACGCCCCGACCTCGGGTTCTCCTGATGAGGAGGAGATTCCTGGAAACCGAGCAGACATCGCTGGAGCTCAACATCTGGATCGGGAAGGAATGGGAGCACTTTCTGAGGGTGTGGCAGCGGTGGAATCGGTAGGTCCAGAAGAAAAGATTCCCAATGTGGAGATCGGAACTGTGTCGGCTGCAGAAGAGCGAGTGGTGGATGTGGTACCTGTCGTTCAGGAATGTGGTCCTGGAGATTTGGAAGACGGAGGGAAAAGGTCGTGTGTTGCGACTGAGGAGGTCTCTTCGTTTGGTGCCAAGATTCCTGCCATTCAAGGGGAAAAAGAAGCTTCTGGAATAGCTGGAGACACGGAAGATCTGAAAAATGAGGCCTGGAGCGCCAATGATGCGCGGGTCGATGCGCCAGATATTACCTGGAGTGCGAAGGAAGCACGGGTTGAGGTGCATATGGTGTTACGTTCCACGGGCGACTGCAACAATGGGGCGCAGGTCTCCGCAGCAGCTGATGATGGAGGTTCACAGGTGGACGCACTGGTGCAACCTGAAGTTAGCCGCGAGGAACGAAATGACAAGGGCTACACCGGAGCCAATGAGGCAGCTGTGGTCAACGATGGTGGAAATTCTCCTTTGGAAGCCATGGAACCAAAGGAGCCTGCGGTGGAAGAAAGCGTGCCTGCCGTGGATGATCGACTCAATCGCCCTGCAGTGGAAGAAGATTTGCCTGCTGCAGAAGGTGTGACAAAGGACTCCAATGATGGGTCCACTCCCATGAAGGGAGAAGTGTTGCCATCTGGAAGTTCGCCGGAAGTCGACACCGAGCGAACTACAGCAGATGAGGCAAAGCCTTTGGCGGAGAAAAAGGGAGGTCCTGAAATCCAGGAGCACAAAAAAGATGAGCTTGTGGGACTCGTGGAGCAGGACGAGCAGTGTGACCCAAAGGTGAAGACAAAGGATGCGCCAGGAGCCGATGATACAGAGGTGGTTTCTGAAGAGCATGCAAAGAAAGTGCCCCGAGCGGGAGCCTTGGAATCACCTGGGACGCATTGCTATCAAGAGGGAGATGAGATCATGGGTCTAGTGCGCTGCATCAATGGGTATGGAGCCTTTTTGGACCTTGGTGATTTGAATGTATTGATTCCTGCAGAAGGGAACAATACGTGTCAGTTCAGATTTGGTGATACTGTCAATGGAACAGTGAAACTAGTGGAAGATGATGGTACCATAATCTTGGACACCTTTCTGGTTTTGGAAGAGGACGTGGAGGACTCTTCCTCAACGCTGCGGAAATGGAAACCCAGCGGCTGGAGTACGTGGTGGACGAATTCATGGTATGCTGGTCAATGGTACCAAGATTCCAACGGTCAATGGGACTGGAAACAGGAGGAAGAGCAATCCGATGAAGAGCTTGTGGTACAGGAGTTATCCTCTGAAGAACGAGAAGAAAGGCAACTTTATGGAGAAAAGATCTACAAAGCTCTTCTGGAGAATGGAAACGAAGAGGAAGCCTATGTTGGCAAAATTACTGGGATGCTGTTGGGTCGCCCGATGGAAGATTTACAGGAGTGTGTTGCAGATCAGGCATTCCTCAATGCGGAAGCTCGGCGCGCGTATGGCATCTTGCAAAATGATGGTTGGAAGCCTGATGGTACAGAAAGCACAGGCTTGGGGAAGTTAACCACTTTTTCCCGAAAACAGTACCACAACGCGCTTTTCGAACTGGCATGCAGAAAAAGGAGATTTACTCGACCAGTTGTGGGTGAAGCGGTGGCAACGGTGCTGAATCAAGGGGAAGATGAGTTTTGGAACGCGCTTTGGTTGGACACCAAGCTATTTTTGCAGGAGCTTGATGGTGCAGTGCAATCCATGAGCAAAAGGGAGAACAAGCCAATGGAAGCCTACATGGACCCTGACCAGTACAAAAAGGCTCACATGACTCCACAGACTGTGTCACCTGGATACAGCAAACTGTGCAAGTTCTTCAATAAGGGAAGGTGTCGCAACGGTGATGGTTGTCCCTATGAGCATCGTCGTTATGGTGAAGGTTGGCCAGGAGGAGGGTCAACTGATCCAAAGAATAGCCAAGAAGCTGATGATGAGGATGGGAACATCGGTGACCCTCCCACAGAGGAAGGTACAGTGGATGAGGCACAGCAGGAGCGGGAGGATTTGGCCTTCCGGGCCAAGTACAATTTTGGCAAAGGTGCATCAAAGGGTGAACCTACGTCGGGTGAGCCAAAAGGTCGTCTGTGTCTGTATTACAATCAAGGTGGTTGTAAATATGGGACTACATGCAGGTATCTTCACAACGATGACATAGCATTGGAAGGGACTTGGGAGCCCGGCAAATCTTGGGACAATGCTTCCAGGAAGTCACTAAGGGACGCAGGGTTCCACCATTGCTGTTTCGATTATTACCTCAGAGGACGTTGCCGGAAAGGGTCAAATTTCTGCAAGTACTCCCATGACGAGATGTCAGAGGAGCGGCTGGCGCTCCTGAAACACTTGGTACAGGTGGCCAATCAGGTCCGGTTTGAAAAAGAGAGAGGATGGGAGATTACGGATAGAAGCACTTTTCAGCCACCTGCGAGTGGGGGAGCTGAATCTTCCTCATCCTCGGCACCAAAAGCGCTGCAAATGACCAATGTGTCACAAAAAGATGGTGAAAAAGGTATTCTGGATGAAGCAGAAGCTGATGAACAAAAGAATTCGGTGGCTGCATCCACTGGTACTCGGCTTCAAAATCCGGAGGAGCCAATTGAAAATTGGATGTCTCGCAACGCACACCTGTGGGTGTATACCCCTCATGTAAGTGAGGTGATGATTACGCTTGGTGTGACCAATGTGTCGGACTTGCAAGAGTTCATCTTTGTGGAAGATTTGGTTGACAAAGGGATCAACAAAGTGACCGCATGCAAAATTCTGCAATTGGTTGGTGATGTCCGATATCGCCCGGGAGGACCGGAAAAGGCAGTTCCTTCTGATGCATCTGTACGGGTACAACAATCTTCTGGGAACAAAGGAACTGGAAGAGCGGCGGTGCGAACCCTCACTCAGGTGCGTGAAGCTGAAGACTCCGGTGCAAAAACCATGCCGAGAGGCTCCTATCGGGAGCTTTTTGATAAGGTCAGGTACCGTGATGGTTGGACGCTTGCGCAGAGGTCTCCGTTGTGCGTACAGAAGCTGCGGTTGGTGGGAGTTGGAATGCCGCCGGTGAATCCACCAACAAAAAAGTATCGGTCAAGATCAAACCCTGTGAGAAGGGGAAGGCCCTTGCTGGACAAAAAACAGGTGCGACAGGTGCCACGCTCTCGGTCACAACGACGAGTGCAACCGGCGGAAGTGGTGGAAAAGCCGAAGCCACTGGAACTGAAGCCTCGTGGTGGGTTGTCGTATCGGTTCAGCAGAGCGTGGGCAGATGTGGTGGATGATGATGAACAGGCGGAGGCTTTGGTCTCGTATGCCGCTTCCTCAAGCGATTCAAGCGAAGAGGAGACCAATGCCGTACAACGCCTGAAGGAAATCTTTTTGCAAGAAAGGGATTCACAGAGAACTGCGAATCGTGGCAATGTTCCGCAAAGTGGTTCTTCAGGCTCCAATGACGGGCCGAAAAAATCGGTTCACCTTGGCGAAGGGCGCGACAAAGCGTCGCGGGGGAGACCCGCCAAGAAGTGACTTCACAAGTTTTTTCGCTACCACAACCTTCTCGTCGAGCTGAACGGTCTCAAAAAAGAGCAAGGGATGGTTCAGTTATGGTTGGTTCGCTGGCGGTGGGCTCCACGGATGAGGTTTTACCTGGGCAAGGTGTTGCTGGACAGGTGAATGTCTCTGAAAGTGCTCAAGTTCTTCCTGGGCAAGAAGTGGCTGGACAGGAGACGGCGCCGGAAGGAGCAGTACAGATTTCTGGCGAGGAGACTGACCAAAAAGAAGGAGAAGGTGGGAGCAATGAACTCCGTGGTGATGGTGCGAAGATATTGGATGGTTGTCCGGTGAGGAATGACCTTCAGCAATTGCTGGTTAAAGGCCTTCTGACTCGGATTTATTGGAAGGTTGCAGTTGGCAAGTTGCCGGTGGGGCAAAGAGACTGCCAAAAAGGGTCCAATAAGATGGATCGAAATTTGGTTATTAGCATGTCATCCGAGGGTGCAAGCGAACAGGATGAGAACCTGGCACTGGAGGACGATGCTGATCAGTCAATGGGTGACGGTGCGATGGTTGTTCTGGTGTATGATCCAAGGACGCTGATTCAGTCGCCAACAACTGATTGGGTTATGCGTCGCGGTCTTACCGATCGTTCCGTCTGGCCAGCAATGGCGTACATGGCACAGAGGATATGTGCTGAAATGGTTCAAGTGGATGAAATGAATGCCCAGCTAGGGACTGGAGCACTCCTTTTTCAAAGGAGAGATCAAGGACATTATAGTGACCTGCATCATTCGTTCCATGACAACCCGTGCTTGCCGGCGGTGGGGAATTATCCTCTTTCGGTGATGGGTGCCTTGTTGTCTCCTGGTCTGGAAGGGGAATTCAAGAATACTGACAAGTTTGGAACTGCTATGGAGGCAATTGCCTATGATTGGAGCCGCAGTCCAGGCATGGAAGTTCACATTGAACTTATGGCGAGGGTAGCCAAAATGGTTCACCCGTTCCTGAATCTTGGAGCCCAAGGGTCGGTGATGGTTTCGGAATTTCTCTGGCAGCGCGGGAGGGCCCGGTTGATGGAGTTCCTTCAAGCGGCGACTTGTGCGGACCAATTGGAGGCTCTCTGGAGAAGGATGGACGACGATGCTGATGAAGAGGTGGATCCTTCGACAGCGGTGCTGGAAGTTCTTGGACCAGAGGATGCGGTGCTTGATCAAGGGAACAATGAATCCCTTATTCCCATTGAAGATGCTGGAGGTGAGACAAGTGGTGACACTGGAGGGGATGGCAAAGCGCCAGAAGTTTCTCCGGAAGAGGAGACATCCAGTGGGTCATCAAGACTGGCGGACACAAGGATTTTCTTGTGGTCAGTGTACTCCCGCGTGGCTTCGAATTTCTCTATGCAGGACCGCACTACTGGTAAGATCTTTGACAGCACAAAAGGGTATCCTGGTGAAGGACCAAACAATGATGACAATCCTTCCTCTAAGGGGAACTTACCCTGGATCTCGGAAGACTACCTCGACGAAGTGGTGTCAAAAAAGATGAAAAGGTCTGCAGATATGGATGGGTTTGTTCCGGGAAGTGAGGGACCATTGGAAAAGGTAGAGGTGGAGAATGTTACTGCCTCTAAAATTCTTATGGCTCTTTGGAAGAAGGGACATAGAGTTGGTTATAGGAGGTTGTGTCGTTTGAACGCATCTGGATGCAAGGCTGGAGCAATGAAACGTCCAATCAAAAGGGTGCAGAAGATTGGCACTAGAAAGGCCTTCACGAAGATGTTCAATGTTTTTGGATCGTCTCAGCATGGCTCAGGAGTTGGCGGAAAACCGATCATGAAGGTGGTAGGACCAAGGCCAGGTTTTCCAGCTGTACTCCAAGCACCAAATACTGATAGCACGTCGGGTGAAGGGAGCAGTCCCCAGGTACATGGCAATGTTCATGTAGAGCACAATCGCCCTATGGACCGGTATGAGGCAGAGCGCTTGGAGAAGAGGAAGAAGGGCTTCTGCTATTGGTTCGGCAAGGGGAAAGATCGCTGCAAATTTGGTGACGACTGCAAATTCATCCATTCCGAAGATGATGTGGTGCTACATTCGTATTGGTGTAAATACTATGTGGCAGGGAGAGAATGTTTCGCTGGAAAGGATTGTGGGTTCTCGCATGATGCAACTGGTGTGAGGTGCGTCCAGTTTGCTCGGTCTGGGAAGTGTCGTTTGGTGACAGGTGTGTCTTCGAGCATGGTGTTCCGCTGGAAGAACAGAGGCCAAGGTCTCCAAGGACGCCCCCAAGGGATGGTCCAAGGAGAAAGTCTGGTGCAAATGGTGGAGAAAAGGAGATCTCTCCTGAACAGTTCGATGATGATGAGGAGGATTTTATGGTTTATGACGAAGAGACCAAGATGACGGAACTGTTGATGGAGGCGATTTCATTTCTGTCCGGTGGCAAGCCAGATTTGGCTCGAGCAGAGGCGGACCCATTGTTCAAACTCCTGAAGTTCACTGGAGATGCTGACCAAATGGATCAAGAATGGGTTTCGTGGACCACTGAAATGTTGACCGTGCTGGAACTTCTCGAAGTAGTGAAGTCGTATGAGGTTTCGCTCGCGGAGGTGGAAGAATGGGTCAATGACCTGAGGATATGGTATGAGCGAGCCAATTTGGGAGAGGAAAAGGATTCCAAAAGAGGTAAAAAGAGGTCCCTAGAAAGGGAGTCCAGCAAGGATATTCCTGCCGAAAAAGGAGTGGTTGAGACTTCGGAGACGGAGGTTGCCGTTGAAGAAGAGAAGAAAAAGGTAAAAAAGAAGAGGAAAGCTGCAGCTATCGAAGATCCTTACACTCTCATGGTTCCAAAGCCGAAGAAGATGCCGACGATCATTGAGAAGGGTGGATCAACATCCAATGTGGTGGCTTCTGCAGTGGAAAAATCCTCGAAGACGCGCACAAAGTCAAATGTCGGTGGAAAGACAAAGAAGAGGGAGAAAAGTCAGAGTCCCAAAAAAGAAGAGGTGGTAATGGTGCAAGATCCTGAGGAAAAGGATCGTCCATCTGATGCGGATGCACCAGGGTCTGCCACTGCGAATGCAGAGCTGGGTCAATCTTGCCAGGCGATTGAGGACGCAAAGAGAGAAGGATTGGTATCCTCAATTCAAAGGGGCGTACAGGATCCTGTTCTTACAGTTTCGGACCTGGAGTATATTCTGCTGCAACTTCACCTCAAGATTGCCAACAATCGGAAAAAGAAGTGATTGGATGGTATGGATGAAGGGATGGTTTTTCTCTTTCTGGAGACAGGTGCGCTGGAACAGCCAATGTGCTGACATTGTGGTGGTTACTATTAAGGGTATGGAAATCCCTGATAGTAGAAGTCAGTAGCTTTTCGCGTAGCGAAGACCACGGTTTGTGGTGAAGAAGGCCAAGGAGTCTTCAGTGATGAGAGGATCATGGTGAAAAGAGATTCTCTATGGGTAGTAGGTTAGCCAATGTGCTATAATTCCGTCCTGGAAGACGTTAAACCACAACATGCATTTCAAGCAGCTGGCTGCTGCCTTAATGGCAGTTTTTGGCCAAAAGATCTGCATCTCCAATGTGTCCTAGGAAATCCTAGGACAGGGGGAGTGCGGAGCTGCAATTGGTATTGTAGAAAAGAGTTAGTGTTGAGAGTTGGAAGGGTTAATGAACCCGGAAATCATGTTTGGCTCAAGATGGGCTTGAACAGAAAGCCACAAGTTCAAAAAGTAGTGCCTGGGTTCTTAGGGTTTGGTAAGGGTGTGGATTCCTTCCCCCTTTCCTTCCCCCCTGGGTTGCTCTTATCCGTGTTCTTGTTTGTTTCTTGGTTCGATCTGGGGAATATAAGTTCAGGGCGATTAGGGGAGTTGATTTCCTTCCTTGGTTGTCCCCCCGTACCCTAAACCCTAAACCCTAAACCCTAAACCCTGCATGTCTGTACTGCATGCCCCAAGCCCGCTGCACCCTAACCGCACACTCTCTTCCAAAGACCCCAAACAAAAAAGGCCACCCCAAACCCTAAACCCCAAACCCTAAACCCTAAACCCCAAACCCCAAACCCCAAACCCTAAACCCTATACCCTATTAGACCCAAACCCTTAAAACCCGCGGCCCAGCCTACCGTTGTCAGAGGCGCCAGATAGCTCTTCCCTGCCAGGTCGACGCGCTTCCGCTCGGCCTCGGGGTTGTTGTTGGGGTTTAGGGTTTAGGGTTTAGGGTTTAGGGTTTAGGGTTTAGGGTTTAGGGTTTAGGGTTTAGGGTGTAGGGTTTAGGGTTTAGGGTTTAGAGTTTAGGGTTTAGGGTTTAGGGTGAAGGGCTCATTTGAGGTCAGGGGCTTAGGGGTTTAGGGCTTTAGGGGTTTGCGGTTTAGGTTTAGGGGTTGAGGGGTTTTGGGTTTAGGGGCTTGCGGTTGCACCCACAACCCTGAACCGTAAAACCCCTCGGCTCTATGAAAACCAAGCTCTAAACGCTCTACAAGCCCCATAAGCCCTGTCAAATCTTCGGCGTTTAGGTAGTTCAGGAATCAGTGTTCTTGGCTAGACCCAGGAGTAACCTAGGAATAAAAGGGAAAACTGTTTTCGTTTTAAGGGGATTATAAGGGAACCCCAAAAAAAAACATGAAACAAGGGCGTACTCAGGGTTCTTGGGGTTTTGAGGGGCATAAGGACCCTAGAGGACGGGTCCTAGTTCGGTCTTTGTGGCGTTTACAGAGAATTGCAGCTCTTCCGCTCTTCCTGTCGACTTGGGGGTTAAACTTGGGTGAGCTTGAGGCCAGAGATCTGGATTTAGGGTTAAGCGTACCTCTAAACTTCCTACACCCTACCCTTAAACACTAAACCCTAAACTCACACCCGTAAGAACACCCCCCGCCCCCCAAACCCTCAAACCCTCAGCCCTGTTCTCAAAGCCCTCCGGCCTCCACCACGGGACCCACAAAGTGAGCAGAATCAGGTGCAGCCTCAGGTTGGGATCTTCCCCCCTATACTAGCAGTCCTTAATGGGGATTATGGCCCAAATTATTGTTATTCTTATTCCTATTGTTCTTATCATTAGTCTTATGATTATTCTGATTGTTAATTGTGTTATTAGTATTCTTACTACTACTATTATTATTACGGTTCTTAGGGATTATGGTACCCCCTACTATCATCCCTATGAAGGACTGCTAGTTTCAGGGGGAACATCCCAAGACTCGGCATTTGCCACCCAAAGAACTTCTGGGGGTTTACGATCATAAGGAACAGGTAGGATCTTTTTACAAAGGACCCCAAGAAGGGACACCCGCCCATGTCGGGTTTAGGTTCCGGGTTTGAGCGTCTTTCGGGTTTAGCTTAGGGCTTTTGCATCTGGCCCTCTCCCCTGCAAACAATTTCCTCCAACCAAAGCGCTTAAAGTTCTAAATTCTGACCTTCAGGCTGAAGGGCTGCAGGCCTTAAAAATCTTCTCCTTTTAGAGACTCTGTCCGTGCTCCACATAGTTCCAGACCACCCACACAGCATACGAAAGCGCACGGGCGCAGTAATTCTTTGGGGGCCTCGCTTCGTGGAGTGGCTTTTGGGAAGAAGATCCATGAAACAACAAAATAGAGAGGAACTTCCATAAACCCTAAACCCTAAACCCTAAACCCTGAACCCTAAACCCTAATTTTTTACAAAGGTGCTCAAAGGCTTTGGGAGTCTGAAGCTGGAAGTGTCACCTGCTGGAGTTATGCTGTGCTGTTCGGGTCCCCCAGCCCAGGAACTTCGCATGAATCCGGGTACCCTTATCAAAGGGGGGGGTTTAGGATTTAGGGTTTGGGGTTTAGGGTTTAGGGTTTCGGGTTTCGGGTTTCGGGTTTCGGATTTCGGGTTTAGGGGTGGCCGGGGGGGGCGCGCTGAATGTTGTTCAGACTTCGCACAGTTGTGGGGTAAGGATACGATATCGGAGGCAACATTACACTCGATCCAGAAAGACGATTTAGGGTCAGGTTAGGTGTAGGGCTTTAGGCTTCAGGGGGCATATACTATAGTTCAGACCAATCGGGTTTTAGAGATGGTGCTATAGATGACTACAACGTTATCTGGGAGAAAAAGCTCGAAGATAAGGATGTAGCTGGCAACTTTGGGTCGAGGGATTAGGATTTTGGGGCTTGTTCATTGCTGCGGGCTAAAGTCTAGTGCTTGGGCTACCTGAACGGAACCTTCAGTCTTTAGATGCGTACGGCTTCGTCTGAACATGTTTGGCCTGAAAAGAGAGTCTCCAAGCGATACGAGCGAAACGAAGAGAGGGTATAGCTCAAGCATACGCGTCAAACGATAGAAATGCCCAGGTGGCTGTGTAGGCTTCGTCCGTGTCTGCGGCGTCCTCGCGTCGGGTAAACCCTAGACCCCTAACACCTACACCCGAGACTTTCCGAAGCCCTCGACCCCTAAATCCTAAGCCCTCAAAGCTGGAAAGGCCTCAGCAAACAGGCTTTCTGCCGCAAGACTTGATAAGGGCTCTTAAACCCTAAAACCCTCACCCCTAAAACGCCTGACCCCTAACACCCTAAAACCCCAAAACCCCAAAACCCCAAAACCCAAAAACCCCAAAACCTCAAAACCCCAAAACCCCAAAACCCCAAAACCCTAAACCCCCAAGCGCCTACACCCCTAAACACCCACACCCCTACACCCCAGAACCCTAAACCCTGACCCCCAAACCCTAAACCCCTAAACCCCCACACCCCTACACCCCTAATTAAGACCCTAAACCCCTAAACCCCTGACCCCCAAGCCGTAAAACCCCCCAAAACCCCAAAACCCCAAAAGCCCAAAAGCCCAAAAGCCCAAAACCCCAAAAGCCCAAAACCCCAAAACCCCAAAGCCCCAAAACCCCAAAAGCCCAAACCCCAAAACCCCAAAACCCCAAAACCCCAAAACCCCAAAAACAACCCCTAAACCCCTAAACCCCTAAACCCCTAAACCCCTAAACCCCTGACCCCCAAACCCTAAAACCCCCAAACCCTAAAACCCCAAAACCCCAAACCCTAAACGCCCTAAACCCTCAACCCCTAAGCCCTAAACCCTAAACCCCCAAGCCCCTTCGCACCCCACTTCGGCCTTCGGGCGCTGGGAGTGCCAGCGGGCCCAGGCTTTCGCCAAGTCGGTGGCCCGGCTAAAATCGTAGGTCCTCTTTCGGAGGCCCAAGCCTGGGGTTTAGGGTTTAGGGTTTAGGGTTTAGGGTGTAGGGTTTAGGGGTTTAGGGGTTTAGGGGTTTAGGGGTTTAGGGGTTTAGGGGTTTAGGGGTTTAGGGGTTTAGGGGTTTAGGGGTTTAGGGGTTTAGGGGTTTAGGGGTTTAGGGTTTAGGGCTTTAGGGGTTTAGGGGTTTGGGGGTTTAGGGGTTTTAGGGGTTTTTGGGGTTTAGGAGCTTGGGGGTTTAGGGGTTTAGGGGTTTAGGGTTTAGGGCAGCGTTTTTGGCTGGAGTGTTTTTGGGGGGGAGGGAGTGGTCAGGATCTTCGCGGGCGATGCGGGATGAGTGCGTAGAGGCACTGTGAGGCGACGTCGCCCAAAGGGCCGTACTTCGTCACGTTGGGAGAAATGGATGCTTTCGCCCTACCCCTGGCCTGAGAGGTTCCTTTCAAGGGACTCTACCTTGAACCAGGTTGCACCCTTGGGTTTGGGGAACCATTTTAAGGGAAAATAAGGGCCATGTGAGGAGTAGGATTCTCTTGGGTTTAGGGTTTAGGGTTTAGGGTTTAGGGTTTAGGGTTTAGGGTTTAGGGTTTAGGGTTTAGGGTTTAGGGTTTAGGGTTTAGGGTTTAGGGTTTAGGGTCGATTCTTCTGCCCACAAAAGGAAAAAGGTGAAAGGTTACCTAGCCGGACAATGCGCGTGACGTGGGACAAAAAGCTGCCAACGAACGGTTTTTTTCCTGCTTTAGATGCCCACATACTCATTTTCATGGCAACGACTTGTGCTTTTCTAGGTAGGCTTTTAACCCTCTGAAAAATATTCCTAAATAGGATCCTCTTCAACCCAATAAGGGGAAATAGAAAATATCCAAGGGCCCACCTAGTTTTGGCGAAGCTCTTTGTCTCGTTTGCATGTGGCTTTCGGCTTCAGGCGTCGGACCATCCCGAAGGAGCAATCTTCGCTAACGCCGGTTTTGAGGTGTTGTACGGGGGCCTTAGTATTTGGAATGGGGAATGTTTTTTTTTTTTTTTTTTGGGGGGGGGCCTTAAGAGTGTGACTGCAAAGGGGCAATGAGGGAATACTTTTAGTAAATAATATAGACCCCTATTTTGGGGCTTGGAGGTTTCTTGGGTTTGGGGCTCGTTGGAACATCTTGCATTACACCAGGTCGAGGGCTTCGGGGCCTAGACCCTAAACCCTAAACCCTAACCCCTAAACCCTAAACCCTAAACCCCAAACCCCAAACCCCGAACGCCAACATCTCAGCACTGACAGCTTCCTGACTTCCGCCGGGCATCGAATCTCCTCGCTGAAGATGTTTAGCTCTCTGGGAACCATCCTGAGGCCAGCCAGACTAAGGGGTTTCGGGGGTTGGGTTTAGGGTTGGATGACCCCAAAGGCCTACAGCTTCTTGCCCCAAGCTGTGCCCCAAACCCAAGAAATCCGAATCCCAAAGGCCCTAATACCCGGAGCAGGACACCCTGCAAATTGGCTTGGGCTATTTGGGGACTTGGGTTTTTTGGCTTGGTGGAAACCAGGCACCCTTTGAATACGTCTGGAGCTTGAGGCAAGCAGGCGCCCTTAACCCACATCCCTCGAAGGGTGAAGGGCCCACGGAAACAAGGTTTTCATGAACGGGGCTTACCGGTTCAACTTCCATCCTCTCGATGTCTTCGGGGCTGTTTAGGGCTCAGGGGTGTTTCGGGCTGTGCTGTTTAGAGTTTGGGGGGGGTCTATAGGAGTTGTAGGGGTTCAAAAAAAATCGACGGGTTCCAAGTTCAGAGCGGAGCAGCCCAATGTGTGGGATCTTCTGGTGCCACTCGCAGCCCTTCGACAGGACCTGTCCATCCTCCCATCATGCGAGGAAATGGCCCTTTCAAAGGGCCGGTAGGTAAGGGCTTAAGGTTTAAGACTCGGGCTTGTGCAAATGTCGGGGTGCGCTTTGAGTTCAAGTGCTCACCCTTCCTACCCTGGGCTCTCAGGAAAAATGCCAGAGTGCGCAGCCTTGACACCAAACCCAGACCTTAAAAGCCTTAGACTGTTCTTAGAGCCCCGGGTAGCAATATTCCCTGGGGAGCAAATGAACCTCAAAATTGGGGTCACCTACCCCATACTCCTATAGTCCCTGAAATCACAAAGGTATATGAACCAGAAACCCTTTTCGGGTTCCTTTGGGCCCTGAGGTCCTAAGGTGATCGGTCTAGTAGCAGAAGGGCGCTTTCAGAAGTTGTGCAGGAAGGGCAGCTTTAGGTCAAAGCTCTCTCGGGTTTAGGGTTTAGGGTTTAGGGTTTAGGGTTTAGGGTTCAGGGTTCAGGGGATTCCTTTTTTTGTGGTGTCAGGTTCATGCCGCCGTAGAACCATGATAAAGGCAAGATGTCTTGATACTTCCTGGGGAAAGCCCGAACAAGGGTTCAGGGTTTAGGGTTTAGGGTTTAGGGAAGTATAAACAAGACCTTTTCTAGAGATCAGCTATCAAAGGTTCTACGCGACACAGCAAAAGGAAACTCTGCATGCACATATGTGTGTACATACAAATATACTGAGAGAGAGAGAGAGAGACCTAAACCCTAAACCCTAAACCCAGAGAGAGAGAGAGAGAGAGAGAGAGAGAGAGATAGGAGAGCCAAACTTAAGTTACAAATCTAGAGCCAGCCTCCAAGTTACATATCTAAAACAAGAGCAGAACATGGGACTCGGGCATTTCAGGTCGGCTCCATTTTTGGAGACCGCATGAGCCCTAGAATTGGGGACATATACCCCATACTGCTGTAATGAATCCCTACTAAGGCATATGAACCACGAACCCTTTCAGGGTTCATTCGGTCCCCAACACAGTGCCCTAAACCCTCGGCCTAAACCCTAAACCGCAAACCCGAAACCCTAAATCACAGCAACGCTGCATGGCCGAAAGCCCAAAATGCCGGCTCGGAGCTTTAACCCCAAAGCCCAACAATCCAAAGCCCAAACCTAAAACCCGAAAAGCTCTTGCGTTTTGGGGTTCGGTTTCAGGACTTATGCAGGGTTTCGGGAGCCTCTAAACCCTAAACCCTCAACCCTGAACCCTTGACCCTAAACCCGAAGCCCTGAACCCTAAACCCTAAACCCTAAACCCTAAATCCTAAACCCTAAACCCTAAACCCTAAACCCTGTCCTTGTCGACGTTCTTGCCGTCTGCGGTATGCCCGCTGGCGAAGCGGCAGTTCAGGCCCGCAGCGCACACCCCGACGGCCTCTGCCAATTCTCGGGAGGTTGCGCGAAGGGTGTGGGGTTTAGGGTTTAGGGTTTAGGGTTTAGGGTTTAGGGTTTAGGGTTTAGGGTTTAGGGTTTAGGGTTTAGGGTTTAGGTTTGGGGTTTGCAAACACTACACCCTAAACCCTATTAAGCCCCATCAACCCCAAGCAGCCTAGACCATCGAGCCTTGAAAACGGGGCACTCAGAGGAGATCTCCGGCAGCTTGGCCGCTTGGAAGGCTTCCATGTCGTGATTCTTGGAACACCTCGAAAGGAAGAAGTTGTTGATATGTATATATTGAAAAGTATATGTATCTATATATATATATATAAAATCATACATACATATATATTTATATATGTATACAGATATAGTACCACCCCCCCCCCCCCCCCCCCCCCCACACCCCCCCACACCACCCACCCACCCACCCACCCACCCCCCACCCACCCGGTGTACCCATATCACGTGCCCGTTCTTCAGGTTTCTTGCAACTTGGAGTTTAGGGTTGAGGCCTGGATTTCGTGGCAAATGTTGGCCCTGCCAACTTTGTCCACGAATTCTTCTCCGGATTTAGGGCCAACATCTTCCAAAATCTCCGCCTTTTGTTGACTATGAGGTAACCCTTATATACACCAAAGAAAGGGCCCATACTTCGGATCCCTATAAGCAAGGGTAACGGACCACACTCCAGGCCCATAGTTTCAACCTTAGACGGATGCCCTGGTTCTCAGTAGGGAATGGGGGAATGAGGTGCCCTACGTAATCCCTTAAAGGGTACCTTTAGGGGGATAGAAGGTACCTCATTCCCTCATTCCCTATTAAGAACCATAAACCCTAAACCCCAAACCCTAAACTGTTCAAGGCAGCGCCAGGTGACCGGGGCTCGCCCGGCGTGCCGTCGCACTCGTTGAGGTACGCCAGCCCTTGATGACTGTGCTGGGGATTTTCGGGCGTTGATGATTCAGGGTTTAGGGCTAGGGTTTAAGGTTGGGGTTTAGGGCTAGGGTTTAGGGCATTGAAGGTTTAGAGGTTGAAGGTTCAGGGTTTCAACCCTAAAGCCTTTATGGCCTTTGGGGGGGGGGGGGGGGGGGAGGAGGGGGGGGGGGGGGGGTCGAGGCTGCCCCAAAAGGTTCGCCATACATCAGGATCGGTTGGGTAGTTCTCGAAATTCAGGTCCTGTTATAAAGGTGCCGCATTCTAGGGTTTAGGGTTTAGGGTTTAGGGTTTAGGGTTTAGGGTCTAAAGAAGGGGCCCTTAGTCCAGAGAACTACCCATATCGCACCTGAAATGGGGCGCTTCTCCCGACTGTCCGGCCAGCATTTTCTTGCGTGGTCTGTTGAGCTCATCTTGAAGACCAAAGCCTAAACCCTAAACCCTAAACCCTAAACCCTAAACCCTAAACCCTAAACCCTAAACCCTAAACCCTAAACCCTAAACCCTAAACCCTAAACCCCAAGCCTTCTAGACCCTCTAGACCTTATCAACCCAAAACCCGAAGTAGCAACACCACACTAGACTATGAACCCCAGAGTCGTTTTGAAATTGACAGTCACCTCGAACCCCAGCACAGCTCTAAACTCCCTTCTGGTTTAGGGTTTACCGTTTAGGATCAAGACATCCCTAGCACTCCGCAAACCACCAAAGGCCCTAAACAGAAGACCTTGCCCTCTCCTGCCCCCTCCCCCATGTACTCGAGCCTCCTCGCCCTTTCTAGCCCGACCTTACCCCCTGGATCTTAGAGGGAATGAGGGCCCTATGTACACCCTTTAAGGGATTATATTCATGGCTAGCTTTATGAAGCAACCTACCCGGATTCCACTCTCCACAGCCGCGCGACGAGGACACAGCTGCTGCGCCGCAACCTCTCTCAGCACATGGACTTCTAGGAACCCTAAACCCTAAAGCCTGAGGTTCTGGAGGGCTTAGGCTATCAAAGCCTTGTGCATGAGAATTTAGAGCACGCCCGCCCCCCCCCCCCTCCCCATATGTATGATAGCGCATATGCCATCTGGATTCTATGCAAGCTACATGTTCCGGTACGCTTCGGTTTGCCTTGGCGAATTCACAAAGACCCTGAACCCGATCCCTAATCCCTAAACCCTAAACCCTAACCCCTAAACCCTAGACCCTAAACCCTAAACCCTGCACCTGGAGCCGCGTCTCTGATCCGGGACGGGCTATCAATGAGGCATCTGGATGGCCCTGTGAGAGATGAGTCTGCAGCCCGTAATACCTTGGGGACCCCTTAAAAGGGAACCCTAAAAGGGGTTTAGGGTTCAGGGTTCAGGGTTCATATACCTGAATAGGGATTACAGGAGTATAGGGTATATGGGCCCAATTTCGGGTTCAAATTTGGTCCCCACGGTATAAGCGCCTGAACAATTAGAACAGGCCTTGGGGGGGGGGGGGGGTATTATAGTATAATTACAAAGGGACCATAAAGGAATACTATTTGTACTGTACTTATCGCGACCCCTATATGAAGCCCCAAAGTCCTTCGAACCTACCAGCCCTTGAGCCCTAAACCCGACCTCCTATCCCCGCCACAAACTCTACATACCTAAACCTTCATAAAACCCTAAGCCCTCGCTAAAACATAAACCCTCAAGCCTCATTCAACCCTTAAACCCCAAGCCCTCATTAAACCCTAAACCCTAAACCCTCATTCAACCCTAACCCTAAACCCTAAATCCTAAACCTTAAGCCCTAAACCCTAAAAACACAACCCCTTCCTTAAACTCTGAAACGATAAAGCCTCAAGCCTTTCATCCAGCCCGCCTTCTTCATGGCCGCAACATTCTCCCGCCGCTCCTGACGCAAGCATGATGAAGCAGCTTCAAAGCACAAGTCCGGCTCGCACAGACAGACGTCTCAACTCTAAACCCTATACCACCCCATCACACTGGACGGCTCAAAAAGAACCGAAACCGACAGACATGCCCGAAAGCCTAGATGCTGGGTTCGGTGTTGGAGCTTGGCCTTCGGAGATGTAGGGCAAGCCTTAAACCCTAAACCCTAGAACCCTAAACCCTAACCCTAAACCCTAAACCCTAAACCCTAAACCCTAAACCCTAAACCCTAAACCCTAAACCCTAAACCCTAAACCCTAAACCCTAAACCCTAAACCCTAAACCCTAAACCCTAAACCCTAACCTGGGCCTCCTAAACTTTAGATGGTCTCTAGCCGCATCGGAACAAACCCTAAACCCCAAGCTTTCCAGGAGGGGCATGCTGGGTGTCACGCAGCCCAGACTTGAAAAAAAGGGGGGAAAGGGGTGCCAGCGCCACTGGGCTACCAAGCCAAAGTTTAGGAGACCCAGGTTAGGGTTTAGGGTTTAGGGTTTAGGGTTTAGGGTTTGGAGTTTGGGGTTTGGGGTTTGGGGTTTGGGGTTTGGGGTTTAGGGTTTAGGGTTAGGAGGTTTAGGTTTTAGGGGACTTCAGGGGCTGGTAGGGTGGGATCTAAGGGTAGGGCTGTATGGTGTATATACAGGGCTATGAAAGGGGTCCCCAGTTAAGGGCCCGGTTTAGGGTTTAGGCTTTAGGGATAGAGTGGAGCCCTAAACCCTAAACCCTAAACCCTAAACCCTAAACCCTAAACCTTAAACCCTTAGCCCTACACCCTGTCTAAGCCCTCCTTGCTCTTGTTCATGCCGCGGTCTTTCTTCTGCTTCTTTGCAGGAGGCTCTGAAACGCCGTCCTAGGCCGGGGTTTAGGGTTTAGGGTTTAGGGTTTAGGGTTTAGGGTTTAGGGTTTAGGGTTTAGCGTTTAGAGCTTAGAGTTTCTTTACGGGGGTGTGGGGGTCTGGGGGCTTCAGGGTTTAGACGTTTGCAGGGGTTAGGGCTCTGAACGAGAGGCGTTTCAGGGTGTAGGTTGTAGTAGGCTAGGGTTTGGGGCCTACACTTTGGGTTCAGATTTCGCGGTCTAGGAGTAGAAGCTCACTATAAGACTGAAGAGATTTGGCGACGCTCATCTAATGTTGGAACCACCTTCGCTTCCACCTTCCGCCCACAACTCAAAACTGCCGTTCGGGACGACATTTACAAAAGGAGAGCTGCAACAGAAGACTCCCTCTTTCAGGGTACCCAAAACCCTAAACCCCTAAACCCCTAAACCCCTAAACCCCTGAACCCCTGAACCCCTAAACTAGGGTCTTCGGATTTAGGAGTTTTCGGACTTTCAAGGGTGTTGTGGTTCATCGGTGCCCCTCCAAATTATTCCCTTGAGTTCAGGAGCCGCAGTGGCCGTGGCCGGTGCTTCGTGGGTCTTCTTCACCAGGAAGTCTGGGTGAATCGGCGCCTCGCACATCGATTTTAGGGTTTAGGGCCAGTTTAGGGTTTAGGGCTTAGGCGCTTAGGCGCTTAGGACTTAGGGCTTAGGGCTTAGGGCTTAGGGCTTAGGGCTTAGGGCTTATGGAGGTTCGAGAGCAGCTTCCGGGGGGACTTTACCAGGACAACGCAAGCAGACCGTCTCCATCCCGCACTCGTCAGCGCGTAGAACCGTCTTGCGCCCTAACGTGTTGAAGAAGTATAGGAGGTTTAGGGTTTAGGGTTTAGGGTTTAGGGTTTAGGGTTTAGGATAAGACTTCTTGGTTGGGATGTTCCTCCGTATACGAACGGTCCTTAGTAGGGATTACAGTACCCCCTAGTCTAATCCCTATTAAGGACCGTTCGGATAAGGGGGAAGATCCCAAAGTACTGTGTGGGGTTGGGGATAAGAGTTCTTGGTGTTCATCTTTGACGGACCATGGATTCCCTCCAAAAAACAACAACCTCATGCACAACCCTAAACCCTATAAACCCTATACACCCTATAAACACTATAAACCCTATAAACCCTATAAACCCTATAAACCCTATAAACCCTATAAACCCTATAAACCCTATAAACCCTATAAACCCTAACCCCCCCTCCCCATATTTGGGGAGTTCCGAGATTAGGGGGGCACCTTCTCTGATTCTTGGGGTCCTTCTTGTTGGGGTCTATACTTGGGGTCCCTTATCTTCGTAAACTCCCATACCGCCCTACCTTTACACCCGAAACCTCTTGGGTTTAGGGTTTAATTAGGGTTTAGGGTTTAGGGTCGAGGGTTTCGGGTTTAGGGTTTAAGGTCTACTTTTACACCCAAAACCTCTCGCGGCTCATTCTCTTCAGCTGCAGTCCACACGCACCTTCGTCGATCCCCCCCGTAGCTTTGGCACACTAAGCCGCAAACCCTAAACCCTGAACCCTCAACCCTACGGCAAACCCCAAACCCAAAGCCGAGTCTTCAGGGATTGGGTCCCTCTTCTGTAGCTAGAAAGGTTTACGGAGATCTCGATTAATATTTTGTTGCGGGGGAAGCGGGGGGTTTTGGGTCCCACCTAAACCCTAAACCCTAAACCCTAAACCCTAAACCCTAAACCCTAAACCCTCAACCCTAAACCCTAACCCCCTCAACCCTTTCATGGTCTTGACCTTCAGTATACACACAAGCTCCCCCAAAGCCAAAACCTTGAGGCTTCTTTGGCACGTAGGGTTTACAGGGTCTAGGGACCCTAGAAACCCTGCGCCCCAAGACCCTGCCGACCCAAAACTGGCTGGTTCTGAGTAGGGAATGAGGGAATGAGGGCCCTAAATAGTCCCTCTAAGGGTATGTATATATATATATATATGCATACATAGAATATATATATATATATATACATATATATAGCAGGGCCCTCATTCCCTCATCCCCTACTAAGAACCAGGGGAAAACGCTTTTCAAGCAGAAGAATCCCAGACCTCGCAGCGGGCCACAGCGGCATCGATGCGCTGACGCCGCGACTCCTCATCTCCCTCTGCAGCCATGGCTTTGCCGAGATGGGAAGGGCTCTATGGCTCGGTGTGCAGCTGTTGAGGTATAGGGGTCTCAGGGCGTTGTTTCGGGACTTGTGTGTGTGGGGGTGTGGAAACACTAAGCCCGAAGCTATCCTTCCCTTTGCTGAGGGGATCCGGACGGAATCCGGTGTGTTTAGGGCAAGCCGAGGCTGGTGGGGGATTCGTTTGGCTTGGAGCTTTTGCTTGTGAGGTGCAGATACCAGGCTGCGACGAGGGCGAGGCCCTGAAGCCTACCCTCAAGCCGACACCCTAAACCCTAAACCACAAACCCAAACTTGCCCTTACCACTAGAACGTCCAACCTGAAGAATTGCTTGTAAAGAACACGGTCTCTAGTTCATGGTTGGGACAGTATTGAAAAATTTAAATTTCTGTTCCTTATTGACTTTAAGTACCCTTAACAAGTAAAATGTTACCCCGCTATGACCAAGGTCTAGGAGTTCGACGGGTGCTGGAACACTTCATGTGCTGGGGTGTCGGGTTGGGGTTTGGGGTTTAGGGTTTAGGGTTCAGGGTGTCTCAATTGAGGGGGCGCGCTGGTGCTAAAAGCACCCAGGCGCGCGCCCCGACTTGTGGAGCCCCACCCCCGCTTGCGCTCCACCCTCGCCTTGACCTTTGCGGGTTTAGGGTTTCCTGGCTTTCTGATCAATCCTTTGTTCTTTTTCCTATTTGTGTAGGGAGGTGTGACAGCGAAGTAGGTCACACAGCGGCCTTGTGCAGGGGCAAAAAGCCAAGGGTTTGGGACTTGGGCTGGCTGCCGCCTTTGCCCTTGGCGATGCTGCATCCTGGTTGGGGATCTGAAAACTTGCTTCGGAGACCTGCCCTTTTGCCTGAAAAGCCCCCTTGCCTGCCTGGGGGGCGTGCTTCTGGAAACCTTTCTGGGACCCTGCCATGGGACCCTGCCTGCGAGGCCCTGCCATTCTAGGGCGACCTGGCGGGTTCCTCGTCAGCGATATGTCGGGTCCCCCGTGCAGCCCGTAGCTGCCTTGGACTGAAAGCTCCATCGCCAGCCGGAGGGCTTATGGCTGCGGAGCTCCCTCGCCTGCCGGCTTCGGCGCGTTCGCCCTGCTCGACGGCCCCGGGATCACTCAGTTTAGGGTTTAGGGGTGAGAAATCTCAAAGAGCACAACTCTAGAAAGACCCCAATGCAAGAAGGAGGGTTGGCTGCTGGATTGAGGCTTCATACTCCTAGGTGTTAGCGTCTGCGGGCGATCTCCAACCCCTAAACCCCCTAAACCCTCAACCCCATTCAAATCTGAGCCCTGAGCTCTAAACCCTAAACCCTGAACCCTAAACCCTAAAACCCCAAACCCTAAGCCCTAAACCGGGAGTCTCAACCCTGCCGAGTCGACGTTCGATCAAACCCCGAACTAGCAACCCTAAATCACAAAAAAAACAGTAAAAAAACTTAGTAGCCCAGTAACCATATGAAAAATAATGGCACGCTTTTGGTTGGTTACTTTATACCCAGAACCAAAAAGAAGGGTAAAGGGTAGCACTGGGCTACCAAGCACAGGAACCCAAGGAGAGCCCCAGCCCCAACACGCCCACGACTCTCCCAAACATCACGGCTTACACCAACCTCCGCTACTGAAGCCTACTCCCCACAAACCTTGATGCACTCCCTAAAGGCGAAACCCCTAAACCCTAAGCCCTGACTCTAACATCTTTTCAAAAGTCCGGGGGTTACATACAAACTACACCTCCGAAAGCCCCAAAAGACCCTCAGGCCAAACGCCCCCAAACAAAAACACAACCCGAAGCCGCCACACCCTGAACCCCCTTAACACTCAAAATCTCAACCTCTCACTTGCCAGGCCTAAATCCAAAATTCGAAGCTCTCAAACCCCTGAACCTTAAACCCTATCAAAGCCAACCCCCGAAGTCGTTAAACAGCCTGGTGGTTCGAACTTGTGGCATCAATTTAAGGTTCCCATAAACGGTTCAGGGCTTAAGGTTTGCAGTTGGGTTTAGACTTTAGGGTTTAGGATTTAGGGTTTAGGATTTAGGGTTTAGGATTTAGGGTTTAGGATTTAGGGTTTAGGGTCAAGGGTCATAAGGTCGGAAAGATCTTCCGAGAGTCTCATCGTCGGTCGTTTCCCAGAGGTAAATGATCTCGGAGCCGATCATCCAACAGCCGAAGATGCTAAAGATGTACCTGCATACAGGAAGGTTTCGGATTTAGGGTTTAGGGTTTAGGGTTTAGGGTTTAGGGTTTAGGGTTACCTTCAGAGCCCCTTGCATAAACATATTGTACTTACATCACACCCACGGCATAACTGCCAAGGATTTGTACCTGCGCCACCCTTATAACCCTTCACTCCTCACCAAACTCTAAAACCCAGCTGAAAAACCCCTATCTTTACGCTTGCAAGCCTCGCGTTTCCTAGAGGCTCTAGGGGTTTAGGGTTTCGGGGTTGAGGATTCCGTGGTTTTTAGGATTTTGGGGTTTTGGGCTTGTAGGGGCTCGTGTTAGTGGGATCCCTCCTGGTAATCTAAGGGATATTCTCCAACTGGAGCATATTGGAGTTTCTGGGTTTGGGTAGGTCTGGGCTTCAAGCACCGCCCGGGGGCACGTGATGATGAAGATCACCAGGACCTGAGGCACAGGGCGCGTCCCTCAAAGAACTTGAGTCCTCAAGTAGGGTTGGGTTTTGAAGTAGGGCCGGGTTTAAATGGGAGTTCCCACAGACTCCAGTATCCCTGACAAAATGCTCCTCACGCTACAAGCGGGATCCCAGGAAGATATCAGGAATTTGTGCGTCGGGCTTACGGCTCAGGGTTTCGTACGGTTTAGGGTTTAGGGTTTAGGGTTTAGGGTTTAGGGTTTAGGGTTTAGGGTTTAGGGTTTAGGGTTTAGGGTTTAGGGTTTAGGGTTTAGGGTTTAGGGTTTAGGGTTTAGGGTTTAGGGTTTAGGGTTTAGGGTATAGGGTTGAGTCTGAGGGTTCTCTGCACAAGGGTTTGGGTTCCCGGCGGTCCAGAACAGGGTCCGCAAGGAATCCCTGAGGCCCTGCAGGAGCAGCCACACCTGGCGAAGTACACTAAGAATTAGAAGAACCCCCGAAAAAATTAACTATTCTTCCTTATAAGGGCCATATAGGGATTACTATTTTGTATTGTTCGGGGCTTCAAATGGTAGTCCGCCCTAAACCGACCCTGCGGCTTGCAAGCCTCGCGCTTTTCCTAAAGGCTCTAAGAGGTTTAGGGCTTCGGGATTTAAGTTTCGGGCGGAAGGTGCATCCGCTGAGACTTTGTGAGGGTTAGGGCTTATAAGGGTTAAGGGCTTAAGGTTTTAGGCAGGGTGCAGGACTTTAGGGTTTAGGGTTTAGGGTTAAGGGGTTAAGGGTACCCTAAAACCCTAAACCCTAAACGCCAATGCGCCATGGCCCGCTGGCGCATTCCTTGTTCTTTTGACTTACGTCTGCCAGCTCTAGAGCTTCGTTTCTGGGGGATCTAAGGCCGATGTTGTTTTACCTGTTTCCCCCTAAACCCCAAAACCCCTAACCCTAAGCCCTAAGCCTTAAGCCCTAAACCCTAAACCCTAAACCCTAAACCCTAAGCCCTAAACCCTAAACCCTGCAAACCCTAAACCCTGCAAACCTTAAACCTTACAAACCCTGACCTCCCGGACCCTCGAGGTCCCAACAACATATTCCAGTGCGCCTACTACAGGGTCGGAATAATTGCCAATAGTAAACCCTAAACCCCAAACCCCAAACCCTAAACCCTAAACCCTAAACCCTAAACCCTAAACCCTAAACCCTGTTCCTATCCTTAAGGCCCCCATAGTACCTCTCGGAACATGGCAATCTGGTTGATGACCCGCACGATACGCAAGAGTCCTGGCCGAAAGCTGGGTGGCTGGGAACCCTGAGGGTTTAGGGTTTAGGGTTTGGGGTTTAGGGTTTAGGGTTTAGGGTTTAGGGTTTGGGGTTTAGGGCTTAGGGTGTGGGGATGAGGGTGTAGGAAATAACAAGCAAAGAGTCGGCCTCAGACCTGGAGGGTTTAGGGTTTGGGGTCTCGGTTTGAGGGTTTTAGGAACCCTAAACCCCAAACCCTAAACCCTAAACCCTAAACCCCAAACCCTAAATCCTAAACCTTAAAACCCTAAACCCTAAACAATCCCAAGCCCGAACCCTACAGTTCCCACCTTTTCAAGCAGTCTGGCTCGATCTTTCAAAGGCCATGGCTCTGGAAGTCGTGTCATCCACACTATGCCTGTTCGGGCTTGGGGTTATTATAGGGTTCAAGTTTAGGGTTTAGGGTTTAGGGTTTAGGGTTTAGGGTTTAGGGTTTAGGGTTTAGGGTTTAGGGATTTCACAGCAGGGTTCAGGACTCAGAGACGCCCGCAATCATACATTTCCCAGTCCCTGGGGACATTTTCCCAGTCAACATGGTGTCGGGTATCCCGGACGGAAGTGCTTAGGATTAGGGTCTCGGGTAGCCAACGATGAGCAGAAGGAATCCCCTGAACCCTAAACCCTAAACCCTAAAAACCCTAAACCCTAAACGCCCGTGATGGGCGAAACTGCTGCAAGATTCAGGTTGCCCTGTGAACCGCTAGATGCAGTTGACTCGTAAGAAATATGTTGGCTACCCCAACTCCACAAATCAGGACTGGGGTTTCCATTCTATTCTATTTGGGGTATAAAAGAGAGCCCCTATTTTGGGACATCCCCATGTCAGGGTTTATGGTTTCGGGTGGTTGTAGGCCCAGACCCCTCTCAACCGCCCGCACAATGCCAGGCCAGGGGGACGCACTGCACGGAAGACGGAGAGAGTCCGCAGAAAACCAGATCCTCGACTTTGGAAAGGTTTCTGTAATCCTAAACCCTAAACCCTAAATCCTAAACCCCAAACCCTAAACCCCAAACCCTAAAGGCCAGCAGCCCTGGAGAGCTTAGGGTTTAGGGTTTAGGGTTTAGGGTTAGGGTTTAGGGTTTAGGGTTTAGGGTTACAGAAACCTCTGGGTAGATTATTCTTCGAAACCATATGAACCCCAAGAAGCCTTAAAACACAAAACCCAGGGTTTAGGGTTTCCCCAATGCGCAATTCCCCAGTGTGGTTGCTCCCCGATGGGTATTTTCTGCCAGGCGATGTGACGTAGGGTTTATATTCCTCGTCTCCCCCCACAAGGACATATGCACCCGTGAGTTTTTTTTCAAATACCAGGCGTTCAATGCGAGCAGGAGAGATGTGCTCTTTAATGATTTCTGTCTGCATGCACCCATCAATACTGATAAGAAGCCCCTAAATACACTCACCAAGAACAGGATGATTTTAAATCCTATTTCATGTGAAGCCCTAAACCCTAAAACCCTGAAACCCTCAAACCCTAGAACACTAAAACCCCAAAGCCCTCGAACTGAAACCCTAAAACCCTAAAAACCCTCAAACCCTGAAAACTTGATACCCACCACCCTGTAACCCCAAACCCTAAGCCCTATACCCCAAACCCTTATCCGAAACCCTCAACCCTAACCTCCCCCCCCCCCCCCCAAAAAAAAAAAAAAACTACCACCCAGTAAAGCTGAGGCTCCAAAGGGCTGCCCCTGGATGAGCGCAATCAACGGTATCACCTCGGCAAGGCACCCCATAAATATAAACCTGAATAAGGGGGCACCCAAGAGCCCTAAACCCTAAACCCTAAACCCTAAACCCTGAACCCTAAACCCTAAACCCTAAACCCTAAACCCTAAACCCTAAACCCTAAACCCTAAACCTAAACATAGGGCTCAAGGGCCTATGGGGTGTACGGATGCCCGGCTTCCTTCACTTCCGGACCTGTTTCCAGCGCAACCGACCACCGCCCCAATCTCCCGAAACCCAGATAGAAGCCTTATAAACCCTATAAGGGTGGCTGTCAAATTATTATGCTCCTTTTGGGGGGTACCGTAATATGAAGTACCGTATTATAATAGGGATCCAAAGAGGGACCATCTGATTTTGACAACCACCCATCAGGAGTTTAGGGCTTTAGGTTCTAGGGTCTAAACCCTTCAATCAGCCCTGACACCACCAACCCCAAGCCATCGACCACCAACCCCAAGTCTCCCGAAGACACGGCCCAGATATCCTACGAAACAATTATCCCCACGTTGCCCATCTTTGCCTTTTGGGGGGGTGTTCTAGGGCTTGGGCTTGAAAGGGTTTAGGGGGCCTTTTGGGGTTGCTTTCGGTGCGTAACGCATCTGCACAGACCCACACTCCCAGTCAATAAACCCCACAAAACTTCCTCCGAGAATGGCCCTGCGAACTCTGAGGACCTGCAATAAGAGTTCTGCCAAACCTTACAACACCAAACTACCACAGGTTTGGGGTTGTTGTGTAGGGTTAAGGGCTTAGAGGTTAAGATTTACGGTTTTTTCAGCCCTAGACCTTGTAATGAGATCCCACAGACCGGTCTTGCAAAGGGCCCCCGGACCCAAGCCAGGATGATACCCGTGATGACCACCAGCACGGCATCCAGGAGGTTTATGAGGTGCTCCACACTATTGGGGATGTAGATCCTCTCTTCGGATAGTCTCATGGTCCCTTCATATGGGGCCCTGAAAAGTTTACTCCTTCTGTACCCCATTATATACTCTATAAACCCATAGGCGACACTATTGGGGATGCAGATCCTCAGGCTGAATGGGCGTTCGGGATTATATATAGGATTTAAGACCCTAAACTCCAATCCTTCCAGATCCCTGACGTGTTAGCCACTCCAGAGTTTAGGGTTTAGGGTTCGGGATTTAGGGGGAGCAGGAAATCGAGTCACACGCTCTAGTGCCTCCAGTGCCTATTCAGGGTTTCCTGCTTGCAGCTGCTACAAGGTGTTCGGTTCAGGTTTTCTTCTCCAGTTCCCAGTGCCAAAGCCCCAAAAGCCCTGGACCTTCCAGTGCGAACCCTAAACCCTAAACCCTAAACCCTAAACCCTAAACCCTAAACCCTACACCCTACACCCTAAACCCTAAACCCTAAACCCTAAACCCTAAACCCTAAACCCTGAACCCTAGACTGACACCTGGAGCTTGTTCCCGAACCCCAAAACGGCCTTCCAAGAGGCACCCCTCCCCTCCTCCACCACCACCACCACCCCCCCTCCAGGGCTGGGAACCCTGAAGGTTTAGGGCAGTTTAGGGTTTAGGGTTTAGGGTTTCGGGTTTGGGGTTTAGGAACACGCTCAGGGATTGTGGAGTTCCGGACGTAGGATGAAGTACCATCCTCAGCAAAAACCCGGAAACTTGTTTGTGCTCGAGGATACTTAGGAACTCCAGTAACCATATATTGCTGAAAGTACCCTTTTGGGATCTTTTGGGGGGAGTTGGTTCCGTTTAAACAGCAGACCCCGGGCAAAAGGGTGCTGCTGCGCGGCCAAGAATTGCAGCTCCCCTGAACCCAAACCCTAAACCCTCAATCAACCCTAAACCCTAAACCCGAAACCCTAAACCCCAAACCCATACAGCCACCCCAAGCACTCCCCCCCAGGTTGCCTGCAGCTGTAGACGTAGGTTCGCAGGACGATCTCCACCGTGAAGACCACCTCAACCCGACTAAGGGTTTAGGGTTTAGGGTTTAGGGTTTAGGGTTTAGGGTTGAGGGTTTAGGGTTTAGGGTTTAGGGTTTAGGGTTTAGGGTTTCGGGTTTTACGGTATAGGGTTTAGGGCCTCGGGTTTAGGGGATACAGGGTGACCACCTGGCGTGGAACTCAACAGCAACAAACAAAGACACACACACACACACACACACCCAGACACACAGACACAGACGCAGACGCAGACGCGGATGCGGACACAGACACAGACACAGGCACGCTCTGTCCCAGCACAAATGCCCAAAGTCTAAGCTTGGGCTGAAGGCTCTGTAGGCGATGTATCTAGGGTATGGGTACATGCCGGGATGATTCCAAAGATTCTGGAGTCTGAGAACCCAGCGACAAAGATGTGCTCTGCGATCTCCGTGGCTAGCCTGAGTGCGGGGGTCTCTGTAGGTGTCTGGTTGGGGTTTTAGGGTCTAGGGTCCACGGTTTAGGGTCTAAAGTTTAGGTCATCGCTTGCCAGCACCTTCAAGACGCATAATATTCTAGAGATTGCAACCCTAAACCCTGAACCGGGTTTGTGGCTTAGGATTTGGTGCTTGGGGTTCAGGGTTTGGGTAGTTGAAGATCCATTCCCTAAGCAGACCCTAAACTCCTGGACCCCTAACCCGAGCGGGAAACGTTAGGGTTTAGATGTCTCGGACTAAGCCGACTCAAAGTCTCCTTTCCCTCCCGAAGCCCGACGCGTCAAAACGCCCGGAAGCCCTACACCCTAAACCCTAAAAACCCTAAACCCTAAACCCTAAACCCCCAACCCCTAAACCCTAAACCCCCAACCCCTAATCCCTAAACCCTAAACCCCTAAACCCTAAACCCTAACCCCCGACCCCTAAACCCTAAACCCTAAACCCTAAACCCTAGCCCCTAAACCCTCGAACTCTCTTGGATGGGGCACTGAAGGCCCGCCGAGTGCTCCTGAACCAAGGCATCGGCCTTCCAGAAAAAGACCCCGGAGTTTCAACGCTTGGGTTTAGGAGGTCTTGGGCTTGAATCTACTGATATTCGTATGTGTTTAGGGCTTAGGGTTTAGGGCTTAGGGTTTAGGGTTCAGGGTTTTCAGTTTTCAGGGTTTAGGGTTTAGGGTTTGGACATTGATATTCGTGTTTATAGCTATGAATTTCACTACATTTGCTTGTTTGTGTATATGTATATATACATATATACATATGTATGTATGTCTGTATGTATGTATGTATGTATGTATGTATGTACATATGCATGTGTATGTATATATTATGGCAGCCCCCACCCCCCAGCTATCCACACTTTTGTGTTTATTTTGTGTTTTTTGCAGTCCCTGATGGCACCGCGATGTTTTTTGGTCGTTAGTGCATGTTTTCTTTGTCCCAGCGTGTTGATTTATGTTTCTATCTGTTATAATATCTGTCCACCCATACCCGGCACCACGAAAGACTCCACTCCGGCACGGAGCTGAGCACGTGTTGCACCCCTTCAGGCGATTCAGCCTTTCCTCTGTGAGGAGCCACAACCAGCGACTCTGACAAGAGTCCTCTTCGCGAGACGTCACGGTGCTCCAGGCCTTCTCACTCACTCCGGCAGGGAAGTCTTGCAACGTGTCACTGCTCTGAACCGAACAGGCCTCTGAGAGCGGGGCCACCAGTTCTGGCTCTGCTGGGCAAGGATGCGCGGAAGCTGCAGATGTCGTGGCCACCGGTTGCAGTCTTTTTCGTTTTCTTGCAGGGTCTGACCCTGCAACCGAGGGTCGCGTCGGCTTCGTGGAGGAAGTGGCATTTTTCTTCTTCTCGACACATGTCTTTGAAGCAGTTGCGGGTGTAGTTGAGGACGACGAAGCAGGTGGACTCCGGGCATCGCTACTATTGGCGAAAGCGAGAGCCAGTCCTGTGTCCAACTTGGCAGCAAACCGACGAGGGTCGTAAAAGGGAGCTGTCGTCACATGCGGAGGCGGTCGTGAAGAGATGCCCGTTCTTCTCAGCTCGCGGGCATTCTGGGCGTCTTCACGGCCTCCTTGATGCCACGCAACAAAGCATGGTCCATGGCAGCGAAGCTTGAGCAGGCCAGGTTGGCAAGCCCTACCGCCTCAACTTCAACCCCTACATCCTAATTACAGCTACAACCCACGACAGCCCCTACAGCCCTCAATTCTTACCTGATCCAAAGTTGTGCTGCAAATGCACTGTAGAGCACAGTCGAGAGGGAACTTGCTTTTGCTCTTTCTTGTCAGTGGGTTTCAGCTCAAGGCCTTGCTCGGACCAAAAGCGAAAGCATTTATAGCTTCAGCAGTCACCACGCCGACAGAACTACAATGCAGACTAATGCAGCCAAGTGGAAGTTGTGCCGCCCACGTGCCTGCAGTCAGCGTGCTATGTTTCACAGTTTAGGGTAGGGTAGACTTCACGCATCGCTCTTGGCTCAAAGCTGACGCAGCCTTCTCCTCCGAAATCCGGAGCCTCATCTGCGTTCAGGGCTTAGTCCTCGCATGCACACAAAATCTCCTGTATGCGGTTGTAGTCGGTAAGGAGCCTGGCAATCTCTTGCAGCACCGAAGAGTACCCTTCTGTTATGTAGGAGATTGGGTTATTTTTTCGCGCGGGTGATACTTTGTTGCTAGTCTCATTCTTGGGTCACCGCGGCCCGGTGAAACGATCTAATTGGCTCGGAACCACAAAAAGTGGATAACCCGGGGGGGCCGGGGGGGGGGGGGGGGGGAATATGAATATAGATAAAGTTAAAGATAATAAGTAAAAGTATGAATATAAATATAAATATAAGTATAAATATAGATATAAATATATTTGTTTGCTTGTTTACTTCTTTTTCTTTGCCATTTGATTTGTTTGCATCTACATGTATATTTAGATACATGGGGTCTATCGCGTGGGTTCAACCAGGATTCTAGGCTTGTGCCATTTCGAGTTGTAGGCCTTTGAAGTTGAAGTTTATGATGACTTCCCTTGAGTCAAACAGCCTCTGCTGCTGTGTCGGGTTGGTTTAGGGTTCCGGGTTTCGGGTTTAGGGTTTCGACTTTAGGGTTAGAGCACAAAAGATGCCGAGTGGGAATCCCTCGTAAGCCTTCGTAAGCCTTCGCACCAGCAGGAATAAAGCTCGAGACTTCGACGCACAAGCAGGGGTTCAGGGGTGTAGGGTTTAGGGTGTAGGGTTAAGGTGTGAACCCTGCAGTAGAGGCCCCATAGGCATGAGTAGAGCCACGCGAGCCCTCCCTAATTAAACCCAAATGCCTCGATCCCCATGGTCACGCAGTTTGCGATGATGAAGAGACCCATGGTAAGTTCAAAGGCCTGGGCCGGCGGTGTGTTTGATGGGATGTTGGGGGTGTAGGAAATGGAAGCGTGAACCCTAAACCCTATAAACCCTAAACCCTTAACCCTAAACCCGAAACAACCTTCCTTAACCCCAAGAATCAAAAAGGGGTGCTCTTCTTCTCTCAAAGGGGTTAGAAAAAGGGGGAGCCAGCTCGTACAATAGAGGGAATACGTGCGCATTCTGGCTCCAGTAGGCCCTAAACCCTAATCCCTAAACCCTAAACCCTAAACCCTAAACCCTAAACCCTAAACCCTAACCCTAAAATCTAGACTCTAGACCCTAAACCACTATATATAAATGTTAATGGCTTTGCAGGCAAGGTCCGAAAATTAGTGGGCAAGGTCCGAAAATTAGCGGGCAAGGTCCGAAAATTAGCGGGCAAGGTCCGAAAATCAGCGGGCAAGGTCCGAAAATCAGTGGGCAAGGTCCATTGGCTGCCCCACGACCTTGCCCACTAATTTTCGGACCTTGCCCGCTGACCCACCACCTTGCCCACTGATTTTCGGACCTTGCCCACTAATTTTCGGACCTTGCCCGCTAATTTTCGGACCTTGCCCGCTAATTTTCGGACCCGGGAAAGGCCCGAGAATTAGCGGGCAAGGTCCGAAAATTAGCGGGCAAGGTCCGAAAATTAGCGGGCAAGGTCCGAAAATTAGCGGGCAAGGTCCGAAAAATCAGTGGGCAAGGTCCGAAAATTAGTGGGCAAGGTCCGAGTCCCAAAATTAGCGGGCAAGGTCCGAAAATTAGTGGGCAAGGTCCCCCCCCCCCCCCCCACCCCCCCCACCCCCCCACCCGCCCCCCCCCCCCCCCCCCCCCCCCCCCCCCCCCCCCCCCCCCCCCCCACCCCCCCCCCCCCCCCCCCCCCCCCCCCCCACCCCCCCCCCCCACCCCCCCACCCCCCCCCCCCCCCCACCCCCCCACCCCCCCCCACCCCCCCCTCCTTCCCCCCCTGCCCCTCCAGCCCCCTTCCTCCCGCAACGGGTGTTGGTCAGTTGAAAACGTGTCTGACTTGGGTAGGTAAAACTCTTTGGGGTAGGATGAAAACCTTATATTTTCTTAATGTTATGGGATTCTTTGGGCGGGTGGGTTTTTTTCCGTTGCCTGAACACACTACTGGCCTAGTAAATGCTCGAACTTGAGATGCTGAACCCTAAACCCTAAACCCTAAACCCTAAACCCTAAACCCTAAACCCTAAACCCTAAACCCTAAACCCTAAACCCTAAACCCTAAACCCTAAACCCTAAACCCTAAACCCTAAACCCTTCAAATCCAAATCCCCTCGATTGAGGAACCCAGAGTGTCCCCCTCCGTGCAAAGGCCCTAAACGCTAAACCCGAAACCCTAAACCCTAAGCTACTAAAGACCTGAGCCTTGTGACTTGCTTGGCGAGTTCTGCAAGCTACGATCCCCTTTTGGGAGCTCGGAGAGGGTTTGAGGTTTAGGGTTTAGGCTTTAGGTTTAGGGTGTTGTAGCACCGCACCCTAACAACAGCCATCATTGCAAGAACTGATCTTTCCCTAAACGCTACAAACCCTGAACCCGACAGAGCCCAAACCCCGAAACCCTGAACCCGAGAATGCTACGGGCAAAACCCTAAGCCTGGTAAGAGGAAAGAAAGCTGCCACTAGATGAGGGAACTACAACAGGATGAGTAGAAACACAACTAACTCTCTTGGAAGCTAGGTCAAGATGGGGAAACACAACTACATGGATGAACATGCAACTTAGCTGGAGCTTGTCTAGGGAAAGGGCTGCAAGGGGTAACCCTAAAGCCTAAACTCCTAGCGAATATACCGAGTGTAAGCCTGCAAGCCCGCAGCCCCAAATGAAAGGAGGGCAGGCCTGATGGTGGACCTCGGATTGCGAGGCACCCCTTAAGCCTAAACCCTCTAAGAACTAGACACAAGCCCCCCGAAAGCCCACAAAACCCTAAATCCTGAAACCCTAAATCCCTGAACCATTAATACCTTAAACCCTAAACCCAAAAGCCCCTAATCTCAAGGGATTGTTGCCCCGGGTAGGTTTGGGTTAGACTGCACTGGGCAGCGAACCCGAAACCCTAAACTAGACTCGGGTTTAGGGTTTAGGAGATTCTAAGAGCCCTCATGAACTACCCTAATCCCTCAACCCTTAGAGTCTTGGAGTACGCATTGAGAGTTTCGGCTTTTGTTGAGTTATGTGTTCTACGAGGGTTGGGCAAAGGGAGCCCTAAACCCCGAACCGTGACCTAAGGTAGAGAGCGTGGTGGTAGGATTCCCTTAGAATAAGGACCCCAATAAGGTACCCCTGTTTTCGGAAAGACCACCTCAGACCAGAGACACTCCCCACTCAGTTAAAAAGTATGGGAGACGCAGCCTGGTGGCTGTTGTGGGCAGCGGAACGGCGGGTTTAGGGTGAGGGTTTAGGGTAGGGCTAGGTAGCCTCAAGCAGCAAGAAGTGCGTTAGGCATGTCTAAATAACGTTCCCGGCGACCTTGCTGAAGGTTAGCGGAACTCCTATGGTTAATCCCCGGAAGCAGAACGGCTTGGGGAGGCGACCCTCACCTGATTAGACTGGAGCTTCATGACATAGGGTAGCAGTTCAGGTTTGAGGTTTAGGGTCCGGGGTAGCTCAGAGCTGCGAGCAAACT